ATTTATTTACGTCACAGGCTTTGCTTACATTGGTGATCAATGGCATAGCTGGTTAGCAGCCACTCAATATATTGCACCGCTAATGGCCAATTTTGATACACACGGCGAAAATGCTACAATTATGTACGCGGATGATGGTGAAAAGTTTGTCATGGAATGGCGCAATTTACAACTTCGTGAACAACGTTCAGGCAAGTTTTTAATGCACCTTTTAAAATTAAGACTAACATTTGTAAATTTTGTTTTCGAAAGGCAAAAATAGAGAGCATTGCGATGACAATAGTATGGATAGTGTGTTTGTATAATTGGGAGAGGTAAGTGTCATTAAGAAATATAGAATTATGTTTTAAAAAATTTTTCTATGCGGAAAATATAGTCAAAGATTTGAGCTTCAAAACTGAGTGTAAAATACTGAAGATTATTATTGTGCGTATTTTTAGATGGCTTTTTCACTTTTCAAGCATCTCTACACAAGAACGGAGATATTTGGTTTGTCTATAAAGATGTAAGCTATTGAAAGAATTTTTACATTTTGATAAATGTTAAGCTAGCATTAGCAAGCAGGAATGTGTAAAGCGCAATACTTTTATGATTTTTTTTCCTGTTTTATGACAGTCTTTTCTTTGCTTTAGCAATGTCTATCTTTAAGTGCTATTTTAGGTACCAATACCTGTTACAAACATCAGTGATTCTCATCACCCAGTGAAAATAGGAATGAGTGATGCGTATCTTTTCCATCATAGCGTGCATAATCCTCTTGCACCTATTTCGCAGCCTCGTAAGTTTTTACTTCTGTTTTTTTTTAATTGCAATATCGCGAAATAATACTGCAAAAATGTTATTCTTTCCAAAATGTTATAAATTCATACTATTTTTTCTTCAGCGTCGATAAAACGAGTTATTTACGAATACCATCGTATTGAAGTGAAACCATCGTTAATTGTTTCAAATACAATCGTTATATTAAAAGCTCAACCAAGTAAGAACAATTTTTGCACAAATTTTTTTCTTTACTTTTTTTTTACATTTCACAAATGCAACTTTTCATATTCTAGCATGCATACAGTATCAAAGCTGTGAAGAATGCTCCAATGCAACTTTAAAACATTTTAACTGCTCTTGGTGTCATTCAAAAGCAAAACACGGTGGACCTTTCTGCTCTGATCAAGCTGGGTAAGATTCTATACTTCTTTGCGCCAGTGAAGAATTCTAAATCAAAACCAGCAAAGGAAAATGTGTAATATAATGTATTTCAAGATTACATAGACGTCGACAACACTGGATTGAAGGAAACTGTAAGGATAATGGTAAAGTAACTTACTGCAGTGCAGATGAAGATTTCAACGAAGTGGATGACGAAGATGACATTCAAGATGCATCTGGTAATTTTTAAACAGATCATAAATGACCTTCTGTAGATTATGATCGAACTTAATAGCTGTAATTAACAGTTGCAACTTCAGCATTTCTCAAAATTGTCATATGCATCTTTCATAGCATCTACTCTATTGGTTTTCTAGCATTTAAATGTTTTTTTTTTTTTTTTTTCTTTTTGTATAAAATCACAGATTTTCCTTGTTAAACAAAAGTAAGTAGATTTTTTAGTTTACGAGATTGCACATTCCTCCGTTTAGCATATATATATATATATTTGTGTTAATGATTGTTATACAAATATAATATAACTTAGGAGTATTACTTTTCGTAACTAACAAAACAATCAGTTATAATCTTAATAAGTAAAACTGCAGTTTTTAATAAAAGTTGCAGAAATCGCAAAACAATGTGTACCATTTGCAGGAAAAACACGAGTAACGGCATCACCGTCAGAACCGGATGAAGTGGTTGCTTGGGATCGTGAAAAGAAAATTAAAGTTCCAGAAGTAGCCAAAGATAGCCAAGGTGATTTTACAAATATTTGCTATTTTCGATTCATCGTAATCGAAATTCTGTAAATAAGTTAATATAGTTATATCTCATGCTAGCAGCATTTACGATGAAATTAAATCAATTTATAGATGTATTAGGTCGGTCTAATAGCGGATTTGTGTCGATATTTATTGTCGTTGTTGGTGTTATAATGCTAGCAAGTTGGGCCTCATACGCATATTTCAATCCTCATACTCCATCGGGCCAATTACTGATAAGGGTAATTTTTGACTTTTTCTTTTAAAAAAATACTCATAAAGATGATAGTAAGATATATATATATATATATATATATATTAATTTTTACTTTATAAGTGAATTTTATAGGTCAAAAATAGGTAAATTTAATTGTGAGAAGCCTATGGCTGATGCTATTCAAAATTCCTCTTTCATTTTTTTAAATCTTTCAGTTCATTTTTCAAATTGTTTCAGTATCGTCCTTCGAGGTGGCATATGCCATCAAGTCATGTTCGATATAGTGCTTCAGTACACATGTAAGCAGTGGAAATAACTCAAGGAATTTTTATTTTCAAACAGTAGGTATGCACGTCAGTATTGAATCTCAGTGTTTGCTTGTCATTGACTATATGCATATTTGAACTGGATTTTTCATCTCGTGTTGTTTTTTTTTTTTTTTTTTTTTTTAATCTCTCATTCAATTATTTTTATCCAGAGTTTAGTATCACAGATTTTTTTATAATATTATTAATTTTTGTTTAGGCTTTGTGATAAAAATACGAAACGAAAAAGTTAAAAATATCATACATTATAAAATTTGGATTAAAGCATCGAGATATTCGACTTTGGTCAATCCCAAGGGCGTCATTCGTTTGTTTTCAAAAAAAAAAAAAAAAAAAAAAAAAAAAAAAAATTTTTTTTTTCTTTACAAATGGTTTTAATTATTCTGGTTTTGTCGTGCAGCTAGCAATAATGCATTGTTCTTTCAAGCCCTGTCTTTGATATGTCTTTTATTATCCGATCATGGTTATTGTTCGGTATATTTCTTCTAATTTATCCTTCTGTAGACAAATGTTCTCTTCTTCACTATATTATTTATTACTTAGGTGTGCACGAAATTGCAATGATTTAATTTACATTCAATGAAAAATAACAGCTCGTTGGATTTTTTCTTTTTTTGAAATGACTAGATTTTTTTTTTTAAATTTACTTTAAATTGTCCTTCAATTATGAAACAGCAATTTCTTCTCAGTATTTTCTGCATCATTTATTGCAGTACTGGTCCGTAATTGAGCTACTTTGTAGGCTACTAACTGTAAATTGCTTGACTTATTATATGATTTATAAATTTAAGATTAAACTCATTATTTATAATTTTTTATTTTATGTCTGTAGATTTCAGAACATTATCAGTCTTTTCTTATTATATAATTTTTTTTTTTTTTTTTATTCAACTTGAAATATCAGGATTTTTTTTCAAACATTGTTGTAGTAGCGCAGCTATATATCGCACACTAAGCTCACAACGGAGACTTAGATTAACTGTCTCATTCACTTTATCTGTTGTTAGTTTACCAATGCTTGTAATTGAAAATACGAAATTTCAAAACTGGTAGAATATGATGTGTACAGTGCTTCGCTTTGTTTTATCATTTTGTAATATTTTTTTTTTTCGGACTGTGTTTATCCGAAAAGAAAAAAAAAATAGTTATCATATTTGATTCTTGTTTTTCATAATCTGCAAGGAAAAAAAAATGCAAATTTTGTTATTCTTTGTTGTATTTGTACACTTTATATTTCAACATCTATTTTATTAATTTATTTTCACTGCAGCAGACCACTTTTTACTATCCAAAATTTATTAAAAATTTGCGACTCTATAAATGGAGAACAAATTATTCGAAAAATATTTTTTCAAAAAAAAAAAGAAAACGTTTGTTCCTTTTTATGATATTAACAATAACTTTTATCACTATGATATTAATAATGAAAACATGCGTTTATAGCTAATTGTGGCTAACCCTTAAAAAAACAATTTTTAACAGTATTTTTTTTTTTTTTTTTTTAATAGGATTTCGTGGAGGTGTCACAATCAATGGATTTCATCAAAACTTAAAATTCAAAACCTACTGAATTACTATCACATACATATACTAAATCATATATACATTTTAAAGATTGTTAACACAAGCATATTATCAAATTAAAAATGGTATCACTTTTCCCCTAACAATGTTCTCATTTCATTTGATCCTTTACAATAACATCGGCATGTAAATTTCGATTTCTCAACTTGATAAAAACTCGTAAAAATAATTCCTAGCTTTAACTGTGGTATGAGATTAGTTTTCCAGTCGCAAGTTTAGTAAAACACCAAACTTTAGCAAAGAGTATTTTAAATCTTTGCGAGAAAAAATCTTATTTGCTAGCATAAACAAAGCAACTCACATCCAATCATTAATTGATTCCATTTAGAAAACTCGACATCAAAATTTGCTTCCCATGAACCTTAGATATAGAAAATTGGAAATTTCTAGACAGAAACCCGCTTTGCAACTTAAATTTCATTCAATTCCATTTTTAATCATACTTCCTTTGAATAAATTTCATATGTTTGCTACTCGAAATACTTCCATTATCATTTTTGATGTTATATATTATTTATCCACTGTAGGTCCCATTTTACAGGATTTTTTCAATTGAAAATTTTTGCTTATCATAGAAAAGAAAATATTTTGAGATATTGACTAAAAAACAAATTCACTGGCTTATGAAATGTATATATGCTATAAATCTCATCCATTAACCACTATGAACAAAATTGTGAAGACAGAAATGATCGATAAAAGTGATATGAAGATGACAACTTTATAATGTACTGGCCATGAGGAGTAAGTCTATACTCAGATTTACTTTTTTCATGATGAAATCATGAAAAAATGTTTGAATTTCAATAACATACATATGTAGTTATACGATGCATAAATAAAATTTGAAAGCATAATAAATATTTGGATAACAATTTATAAAGAAATTTGAAAGTAATATTTAACAAAATATTTAGGAAAAGGTGAGCAAGCTTTGGACGACACTTTAAACAATCAATAAAAAGTTCATATAACTGCAAAACCAGCTGGTCCTTTACGCTGGCTTAAAATATTTTCTAGTGTTTTGGGAAATATACTCATCACTTTGAATCGCTCACCCATACCTTTTTCACTCAATAGTATTTCACATGATTTGAGCAAATTTTGTTTATCTTCTTCTGTTTTACAACATGTCAACAGTCTTTGCAGTCTTAATCCAATTCCCATTTGAGCAAAAAATTCTCTAAAATTATTGACAATCACATTAATGACTGTAATGAATTTCATATAAATGTCCTATTTTCGTAATGATGAAACACTGATTAAATGTTCCATTCGCTGCGGTGAGTACAAAAGAATAAACGAAATGAAGAATGAGACTAGACGATTCTAATTACTCTTTAATATAACAGTTGAAAATGCCACTGAAGAAGAAAGAGAAAAAGAGAAAACTTTGAACGATAACATACCGCTGTTCAATTGGTCCAAAAACCAATGTTCGGTCTTCAACAAGACTTTTCAAATATCCAAAATTGACATCGGCAGTTATATCATGTTCTCCAGGATTTTCCAAAGGATGTACAATCTGATGACCTTTGTAAGCTCGCAAGGACAAATCTTTTCTTGTACCATTATGTCCATAATCTACTATCAATACAAAACCACCAAATTTCGTAATACTGTCAGTAACCTAAAGCTATTAAAAAATAAATTCAATAATGGAAAACAGTTGTAGCAATTGTTGACAATAATCTACCTGATTAACATAAGTACCAGCATCAATGCTAATCTCCCACTCTTTGATTGATAAATCTTCACGAATTTTTTTCGGTAATAAACCACTGCAATATGATCAATATAGTTCATATAAAAGTGCATAAAAAAAGATTTGTTTCAAAACTTTGAATGGAAAGAAAGAAATTTTGAGTAAAACTTGCAATTTTTCGAAATAAATCTTGAATAATTTCCAATAAAATTGAACGCAAGTATGCGTTTAAATAAAGCTTTTAAATAAATTTCCAAAGTTTGTTTTTAAATAAGTTTTCAAACACTTTTCTTTTAAGTTTTTGCAATTTTTCGAAATAAATCTTGAAATAAACTCTTAAATAAAGTTTTTACATGTTTTTTAAAGTTTTTGAAGAAATTTTGGGATTCTTTTTTTGAATACTTACAAGGTATGCAAGTTTTCGGATTTCGACAGCATAAAACAAAGTTTGTCGTCCTTATTCAAATTTACATATACTTCATGCCATTTGCCCTCGTCATCTCTTTTAAATTGATTTACTGGTAATGCATCCAAAAATTCGTTGCTTATGAATATAGAAAACTGAAAAAGTTATTTAATACAACTTTTCATTCAATTTTGGCAATACGTTCAACTTAAATTCCATATAAATAATAGTTGACAAGAACGTACTTGAGCAGGAATGTCATCAACATTACGATACCAGTATATCGGAAAACCATTTTTTGTCACATTGCACCGAACATAAGATTTTCCATCAATGAACTGCGATGGATGTTCACAAAGCAGAGATTCTTGTTGATCCAACAAAGCATCAGATGTTTCAACAAGATGAATAGATCCTTTCGTTACCTAAAACAAACATATTATCAGCGGATATTAACAAAAAATTAAACAATTGAAACAGCTAGAATAAGAAAGAAAGCATACTTTAAGTCGTCTCAAAGTTCGTGTGATATCAGACATCAGCTGTCCTGTACCAGGACCATTTTCCACTAACTGCCATTCTTCACTGTGCCCTGAAAGCACCTGAAATAATACTAAATAGAGCAATTGCAATTCATTAAAATATAACAGACTTCCATTTTGAAAAATCACCAGTAGTTCATAGTTAATAAAGACACATTGCTATGCTTCAAATAGCTACAACAACTCGGTAATATATTTCAGACAGAAACGTTGTAATATTCTCATAGACCAAGCAGACAAAAATAAACTGAAGACAAAAAATACTAAATATCAATAAAACTCAACTATTATTTTACAATCAATCTTTAAAGTACAAGAAACAGTACCAGTATTAATGAGTTCGTAGTAGCACCATATACCAATAAGCTCACCGAACATTTGTGTTAGCTCGGGAGCCGTGATAAAGTCACCTTTCTCACCAAATATTTTACTACCATGACGCGAATAATAGCCACCAATAGGTGATGAAGCTGTTAAACGCATATATTCAGCAACACTCATTGGTCCATTCAGATTAATTTTCTGCTGCAAATAGTAGAATAATTAAAAACTGTTCAAAAATTTAAGAAATATAAGCTCTAATGACAACTAATAATTGAGGCCCATAAAAATAATAGATGAAGTTTGGGATAATTTGTGTTGTAACAGTTTGTGTTTTTCGCTGTTTAATATACTATCATGTACCACATTACTCAGATTTGTAAAATTCGTATACAATATTATGATGAACTTTCGATATAATATGCTTATATGAAAGCATCTAAAATATGGCAATTTACTATACCTTAATAAAATGTAGTAATTGATCAGAATACTGTTTCCTTGATGATTCTGTTCTATGATTTCCAGTGAACAGTCGATTTGTAACAGCTGCATATTTTTGCATGTTAAATAACGTTTTGTAAATTGATAACTTTCCCATAAAATATTACTCTGAAATAATTTAAAATAAGCATTTTAAGTTACAAAAACTGAGAATCAAACAACTGATATCATGGAATACCACTAATTTCCTCCATTACAGTAATAGTAATAGCAACAGTACGAGAGAATCTTTTTGATCAAACTAATTACTCAATAACTATTCCATAGATTTACTTCCAAACAACAAAAATATCTCAATACTATTCCACAAATCTTATCAGTCATCAAATACACTCCAATATTTATGCTTTCTTTTCTCAAACATAATATCAACGAAATTATCAGCACTCCTGCTAACATACCATCTCTTATCAGTTAGTAAAATAATCCCTTATCAGTTGATAAAGTTATTTACAACGCATTTTGCTTATTTCCCACGGCACTGTTATGCAACGGATATATTCCAAGCCAAAAGAGTGGACAACGAAAAGAATATATTCCCTCTTCTCTATTTTTTTTTTTTTGTTTGACCATAAATTAAAGTTCAGCAAAGGTCAAAGTTCAACACTGATAAAAATTGATAGAAAAGATTAAGATGGCGATATCGTATATCTCAAGTGGCTATTTTTATTACTTCTATATTTGAGAATTGATAGAAGTTTGTGCGTACTCATTGAGAAAATCTTAATGAGAAATTCGATTTCCCTTTGGGATTTTTTGGTTCAAATCGATAGTTAGAGATGAGAAATAATGAAGCATTTTCTTTTTTTTTTTCTTTTTCCTTTTAAACATTAAATAAGATTCATTAAAAAGCATTTTAATTTTATTGAGATTATGGCAATATTTCCCTTTAATTAATTGAAAATTACCAAATATTTATGTATTTTTTTATTCTTAAAGCGTTATCGATTCTTTAAATTAATTAAATAATGCATATATTATTTTAAGAGTGAAATTTTAATCATATAGGTATGTTGATAGGAAAAATTTTTTAGAATAATATTAATCGAATGATTGTAATTAATATATGAGTGAATGAATTATTGTTATTAAGTATTAGTGTTGCTAGTAAAAAAATTTCCTTAGGATATTAAACAAATTAATTATTATTATTATCATTAAAATAATTAATTGTATCGGAATGCAATACAGCAATACATGGAAAATATATTAAATATATGGTTACTTTCAAAAGAAAATTTTTTAAAATTTTAATTGAAATAGCACATATATGATATTTTAATGTTTATTAGCTTCATAATAAGCGATAAATTGGTATAAAATATTTCTAAATTTCTCCATTGTGTATGTAATAAATCATTGTTTATTTACTTTCCTATTGTAAAATATAATAGTTTGAAATCATCTATAACTGTTTTTTTTTCATATCAAACTTTTCAGCAATATAATAATAAAATTAATAATTTAATACTACTAGTAACAATAATAAATAAGTAAACAAATATGTATATATGCATTTATTATTCTGAAATTTGAAAATGAAAATTATAAAATGAATGAAATTTAATTCATGAATAAGAAATTGTTAAAATTGAAAGTGAAAAAATGAAGAAATGAAACGTTAGAAATGTTTCATTGATATGAATAATAAGTGTTATTTGGTAATAATTGTTATTATAATATTTATGGGACATTTTTCCTTCTTTTATTTATATACTTCGATTTGTTAAAAGACATCATTTAATCTCTTTAAATGGGAGTTTCTTTAAAACAAACAAAAAAAGAGAGAAAAGAAGAAAGAAAAAAAGAAAAGAATAAGGAAAAAGAAGAGAAAAGCAGTAAAGAATGTATTTGTTAAGTACTTACTTCGAAGATACATAGTACTACTTTTTGTCTTTTCATTTTTAAGTATTGATGGTAGTAAGTTGTAGAATGGAATCCTTTCTTTACTAATAATTTAAAGAATAATTATTCATTTATTCATCACTTTTTTGAATTACTTTTTTTTTTCCTAATTTACAATCATTTCTTTCTTTCTTTTTTGTTTTTTTTTTGTTTGTTTTTATTTTTTGGAATATTATTAATAAAATTTTTATAATCTCAATGTATTAATTAAATTTTTTAAATTAATTTTATTCATAATTTAATCTTAACTATATAATTTTCTTAGTTAATTGTCTTCCTTTCGTTGTTGTTGTTGTTGTTGTTAAAAGTTAATGAACATTAAAAAGTTAGAAAAAATTATTGGTTAAATTTAATTTTGCATTGTTTTTTTGTCATTCATTATTTATTGTTATTATGTAATTAATTAACAAAGAGAGAGAGAGAGAGAGAAAAAAAAGAGATCATTCTTTTCATTTTAATAATTTATGTTAGTTATTAATTATTAAAGATTATTTTGTAACTATAATTATTAAATATTATTTTGTAACGCTTTTCGCTTTATATTTTTTTAAAATTATTTCTATAGTTTTTTTTTTTTTTTTTAAAAAAAGTTTTTTTAAAAATATTATATGAAAAGGTATAATCAAAAAGTAAGAGCAAAAAAAAAAAAATGAAAAAAGAATAAACAGAAAATAATGGATAAATAGATTAGAGAAATTTAATGATGATATATAATGAATGTATACTCATTTAATTAGTGTATAAATAAAAATAAATATGAATTAGAATAGAGGTAAATATGAAAAAATTTTATTTTATAAATTAATAAAATACATAATTAAATTAAAAAAAAAAAAAAGCTTAAAATATTTTTAAAAAAATTTCTAAAAATATTTCATACATTTGTAGGAAAAAAAAACAAAAAAACATTACTTTCTTATTTCTAAAGCAAATAATACGGTATGCATTTAGAAAATAAAAGAAATATTTCAATAATTAAATTGAATTGAATGAAATTAAATTTTCACATCGTTTAATTTATCAAATTTTTTTATTACATTTGTGTATAAATAAATTTTGTCACATTAAAAAAAAAAGTTTACATTTGACTTTTTTCTTCATTTCAAACTACATTTGTTTCTTAATTTTAATAACTTTTTTAATTTATTTAAAAAAATAAAAACTGCCAATCTTAAGCATTAATCATTGTTTTTTTTCCCAACAATTTTGATGAAAATATTTAATTTTCTTTTTTTTTTTTTTTTTTTTTTTTAGCAGCTTAAACCATTTCAAATGTATTTCATTAAGATTTTATTCATTTTTTAATATCGTTGGAACTAATTAAATTATTTCATTATCTGCTAAATATGTTTAAAATGAATCTAATCTTGTATTATTAATATTAGCAACAATGCTAATCAATTAGTATTTGATTATATCAGAGCAAACGAATGATTTAATTTCAAATGTAATTTGATATAATCAAAATAAACAAAAATTTAATTGAAATGAATACAACTGAAACGAGAAAAAATAAAAACTTTAATCCACTTTTGCGCATTTATCTTATATTAGCATATCAATATTACTTTTTTTTTTATCAATAATTTTCATTTATGTTTATTAAAATCTTTATTAAATGTTAACTATTGTGAAATGTATATGGTATAAATTAATTTTATTACAATTTAATAATTGCTTAATTAGATGTTTAACATTTATTCATTTAAAATGAAAAAAAAAAAAGAAGAAAGAAAAACTTTTCTTCAATTTTCTAAAAAGCAATGTAATTTGAATGATTTTAGTTTGACTTTCTTATTCGATTGTATGAAATTAAATTTAATTTTTCCATTTGTAAAAATGTTATTTGCCTCATTTTGCCATGCCAAATTCACATAAAATTGTATCGAAATGCTTGAAGAGTTTCATCGATTTTAGCACTGCAAAGCTTATAAGATACTTCGCTGTTAACAACTTTTATTCTTATAAATAGAACATAAATATTTTAAACATTTGTATGAGAAAATTTTTTCAAAATACTAAATTTTTTTTTTTTTGAATTTAGAAATTACATTTTCTTTTTTTTAATTAATATTTTTTCTTTTCTTTTCTTTTTTTTTTTTCCTAGTTAATAAATGGTTTGCTCATATTATTTTTAAAAAAGAATAAAAAATGCAAAACAAAAATTTTAATAGAAGAAATTTATTTGCTAAAAAAAATAATGTATATTATTAAAAAAATGAAAAAAAAAAACAGTGAAAAGAAAGAATAAAAAGAAAAATTTACTTTGCTAGAAAAAAAATTTTTTGTTTGTTTGTTTTTGTTTTTTTTGTTTTTTTTTTAATTTGAAACTTTAGATAACATTTGAACGATTTAATGGGATCTACCATAATAATATTATTGTTTATTTTGTTTTATACGATGAAAGCATTTCGACTTTTCGAAAAGTTCGTTTTTCTCTTTTTTTTTTTGCTTTGTTTATTTTCATTTATCTCTAAATTATGTTTTAACACCGTATTTTATTTCAAATGACATATTTAATTTCAAATATTACTGGAAAGAAAATCAATAAATAAAAAGAGAAAAAAGACACTTGGCATCAAATTCATATTTTATTTATATGAAAAAAGATGAAAAAAAATTTTTTTTTTTTTTTGGAAATGAAAAGATGGAAAGAAAAGGAAAAAGAAGAAATTAAATTAAATTAAATTGAACGAAAAAATCTGTTAATCTATTTCACATTAATCGATATAAATAATTATTTATTTATTTTACTATTTTGTCTTACAATTATAATTGTAAATTTAATTGCAATTATAATTGAAATATAAAAATTTAATGTAAAGTAAAATGTAAATTTTTTTCAAAATAGTTTGATGATATTAAAGAATTTTAATTTTTTCTATTTTTATTAAAATGAACGTTTTTTTTTTTTTTTTTTTTTGTGCAATTATTAATTATAATAATAAAAAATAAAAATCCTTTAAACAGTTTTTATTTTCAAATAAAATTGTTTAAAAAATAAATATTACAAAACTTATTGATACAATTTATATTTGATAAAAATAAATTTCGAATTTCTTCTTTTTTTTTTTTTTTTTTTTTTTTGCAGCGAATGTGATTCACGTACCAAAAAAATCTCAGAAATATTAGACATACTTATCGATAATAGCACTTATGATAAACGTCTAAGGCCTAAACATGGCGAAGAACCAGTAAACGTAGGTATTACGATACACGTGTCAAGCGTTAGTGCTATATCTGAAGTTAATATGGTATGTATATTATTAATTTGTATGTTTGATACGATAGAAATTAATTGAAAGTTATATTTTACAAAACAATTTGAGTAAATTTCAGGAAAATGTTGTTTTTTTTTTCTTATTTTTTAATTTTATACTAATATTTTAGAAATAATTAATTTGTTGAATTTCAGGATTTTACAATTGATTTTTATTTGAGGCAAACATGGAATGATCCACGCCTTGCATTTAGCCATTATTTGTATGATATCGTTGAAAATAATATCGATTCATTAACGGTTAATTAATGTTGTAGAAATTTGCATTTTAATTTTAATAAATTAACTTAATGTTAAATTAAAAGAAATAATTTATTAAGATTTATCTTACAAATAAAATTTTAAAATAAAAATATAGCTAAAAAAGAAAAATTTTTGAAATAAAGAATTGAAATATTTTAATCATTAAATATGTCTTGATTAGCAACAAATAATAAATTATTATAATTTTTCACTGAATCATTAGTCAGTGATCATATTCTGATAATTTTTTACTTAAAATTCAACCTTTATCAATTTATGTAATTCTAAACTAAACAAACAATCAATAACGTTGTTTTCGTTTTTTATTTTTTAATCATTACGAAATGCTTTAAATGTGAGTAATCCAAAAGTAATTTAAACGAAGCTATTTACGTAAATAAGGATGAAAAGGAAAGAAAAAAAAAATTAACTATTTAATTTAAATCTATTGCATATTTTATTTGTTAAAGAAATGAAATTCAATTATAGCATCTTTTTTTTTCTTTTTGGATAATTTATATAAATAAATTATTAATTTTAGGTTGGTGTAGATTATTTGCAAAAATTATGGAAGCCTGATACATTTTTTCCAAATGAAAAAAAATCATACTTTCATATTACTACAACGCATAATTCATTCTTACGCATTTATCCTAATGGTAATGTATTTACCAGTCAAAGGTTTGTTTTATTTTAAAATTGATTATTTACATCAATAATAATCAAAATTTAAGTAATTAAAAATACTAATGAATGAATAATTATCAAATATTTGAGTAAATCGTATAGCTTTTATTAAGAAATAATTGCTTGAGAATATTTAATATTATAATTTCTTAGAATTTGATAATGTAACAATTGATGTAATCAGTAAAATTTGATAGAAATTTTAATTCGTATGCTTGTAGGCTAACTGTGACAGCTATATGTAACATGAAACTTCATCTATTCCCAATGGATTCTCAGAAATGCAAACTTGAAATTGAAAGCTGTTAGTTAAATTCTTTAATTTTCTTGTATTATAAATAACAATAAGTTAGAAAACTTTTAACACTTATGATATTGATTTCTTTAAATAATTAAGTTATGATGGTATTTTTATATTATTCAGTGTTAAACATATAAAAGTATATATTGCAGATGGATATAGTGTATTAGATATCGTTTACTTCTTTAATAATTCAAAAAATCCAGTATCGAAATCAGAATTTGAATTGCCTCAATTTGTACTCATCGATACACAAGTGGCATCACGAAATGTTGTCTTAAGTTCTGGTAAGCACAGTAGAATTCAAAACCTTAAAATTTGCAAAATTTCAAACTATAAAAGATAAAATGAGCATTCATACAGTAAAGTATATTTATTTTGTAAATTTACTACTCATTAAAAAATCTTTATGTATTTTAAAGTCTTTTTTTTTCCGAATTATTTCACTTTATTATTTAAATTTTCAACTGTTAATATTTTAGGCAACTATTCACGTTTAACTTGTGCATTTTTATTCAAACGAAATATAGGATTCTATATTATTCAAGTTTATTTACCCTCAATTTTGATTGTTGTCATCTCATGGGTATCTTTCTGGCTTAATCGTGATGCAACTCCAGCACGAGTAGCGCTAAGTGTACTTACCATACTTACTATGACTACACTTACTGCAACAACAAATGTTAGATTTCTATCTTTTCTACAACTTTATTCATTAAATTTTAATTTATTAAGAAAAAAAAAAATCCCGTTCAAATTTAGAGTTCAAATCAATTCAAAATATATCATATATCTATTCTTCGAGTATATCCTTTTTTTTTTTTCTCGAAATTTAATATCAAAATTGATTGAAAGAAAATTAATTAATTATTTCCTATTTAATTTTGAAATGATTAAATTGCAGGCTTCAATGCCGAAAGTTTCTTATGTTAAAAGCATCGACATATTTCTCGGTTAGTTATAATATATAAAAATTTATTAATGAATAAAAGAAAATTATTCGTTTCAATTCTTAAACTAAAATCTTCCATTTCGAAGAGTTTTAACACAACAACAAATAATAATAATATTATTATTATTGCATAGGAAAGTAGAAAGAATAACTTTTAGGTGTATCATTTGTTATGGTATTCAGTTCATTACTTGAATTTGCTGCTGTTGGATACATTAGTAAAAGGATAAAATTGATTGAAAGAAAACAAAAAGATTTGCATAGGTAAATTTTATTCACATATTCAAATTTGTTCTTATTTATTTTTTTCTTTCTTTGAAATTTGCAATAAATGCAAGTTTTAGGAAAAATATATTTCCACCATTTTTTTTTTTCTAGTTTCAAATTAACTTTATCGCTTTTTCAAAAAAAGAAAAAATAATATAATAAAATTATTTCGAACAATAAAGAAAGAATTCTAATTAACTCTCTTGTATAACTTACAAAAATCACTACGATTATTTTTAAGGAAGTTACCAAGTACAGCACCAGATTGCTTCTATACTATGCCATCAGCAACAAATGATACCATAATTCCGCTTTATCATCCATTTTATTCATCTCGTGATAAAAATTCCATCCTATATAACGGCGGTGAAATTAAACCACCTGTAATTCTAAAAAAAGTTAGTAATATTCATAAATGAATACGTTGAAGAGATAACACTTTAATATACGATCACATTTCATAGCATATATTAAGTGCCATAAATTATTATATTTAATATATAACATTTGAAAATTTATCATTTACAGCATCGCAAAATACCATAATCATACCGTAAATTGCATCACTATAGATACTGTAATTAAAATATATTATATCAAAGTGATTACTATAACTTGGAATTCATCAAATATTGAATAATTTCTTGTAGTATTAACTGGTTTATACAAATGTAATGATTGTAAACCTTATCGATTACACTGATAACATTGATAATTTACAAAAATAAAATGTATAAATGGTAGAATGCCAATTCAGGGTGAATGCCAATGTCCAATACCACCACCATCACCACTACCTGCAATTCATGCAGAAGAAACTTCAAAAGAGGAATATATGATATTATTCTGTGTGATACGACCTAATAAAATAGACAAATATTCGCGATCTATTTTTCCTTTGGTAAATAATTCATAATTATTTATAAATAATTAAATTGTGAGATAAAAATTTAAACCTAATCAACTTTACAATGCGTCCTCTTCTATTCACTTAATTCCATTAGAATTTAGTTAAAAAAAAAAGTTTCTCAAATACATTTTCAATTTCAGATTTTCCTGGTATTCAATATAATATATTGGTTTTACTACTACAGTATCAGTGGTACAGAACTTACAGATACAGATTTGATGTGAAATAATTCATTCAATTTCTCACTTTATTTATCATTTTTCTCTTATGTAATTTCAATCCTCAGGGAATTAATGTTATCCGTAACAGAACTAATATTTTGATTCATGTTTCTTTTTTTTTTTTCTTGTAAATTTTGATGTAGTTTCAAAATAAATACTTTTTTATATGTTTAAAGTTATGAAATTAAAATCATTTCATACTTATTTTATTACCGATGTTCCTTTCATCGTAGTATATTTCGCTGAGTAATTTTCTAATAAATTTAATAAACTTTTTTTTTAAAAAAATAGATGATATGGAAAAGTATCAATTTATTACACTCATAATGAATTAAATCTCATCCAATTCTAAAAAATTAACTATAAAAAATTAATTAGATGATAAATTCGAAATAATAGAAATACTGCTACAAAATTTTTATACACTATTAATTACATATTATTAGTCAAAAAACTAATTACAAAAGTAACGCTACGAAAAAATAAATAGATGCTAGACTTGAAGTAACACAAAATAATGTTACAAAAGATTAATTATATGCTATTAATTAAATACAAGAGTAACGTTACAAAAAATTAATTACATATTATTAATTAAGAAACTAATTACAAAAATAATACTACAAAAGAATTAATTACATGCAAAACTCGAAGTAATAAGAAAAAAAAAAAAAAAAAAGGAAACTAAAATAAGTGAAAACATAAAAAGCAACGCTAATTTTAACAAATTGCGTTATTTGTTTCTGACGGACCGCAAAAATATAGCGTGAAATCCGTTAATTTAAGTATAATATTGAGTAAACTATGAATTTAAATTGTTTTCATCATTTTTTTTTTTTAATTTAGTAAAGCAAGTCTTTTTGTTTTATTTTTTCCTGATATCAATTTATCATTTAATTAATTATCCAAATAATTATCAAAAGTAGTTGAGAATAAAAGAAAAGAATGGGAAGCAAGTTAAGAAAGGGAAAGCTAACGCTTACTTTAACAGTGACGATTTAAATTTAGTTGCAGATAAAGAAGGGAAAATGGTTAATGTTTCTAAAGAATTATTGGATAAATTTTATGATCTTGCTGATTTCGATCAAGATAACCGTCATAATGCTGTGATTGCGATTTTGGATGAAGTAAGTCGTAATTAAATTCTGAAACTCTCATTATTTCATCTACAAATTAAATGACTTATAAACTTCAAATTGTAATCCTTTTTCTTCCACTCTTTTTTTTCTTTTTTTTTTGCAAATGGAAGAATTCTTTTGCATGACTGATATTCAAAAAAAAAAAAACCTAATTCTGCTTTTTCTTGTATGGTACTTATGAGTGAGATATTTATTATATTAATTTAGCGTTGCATCGATGCATAGACTAATAGTAAATCATTAGTTTGAGTAATAAGTTAGAATAGAATGATGAATTCAAACTTCTCATTTAGATAAGATATAAGAGAATTTAAATGAAAGTTCTTTTTCAGTTTGAACAGAATGGTTCATATTTGATGGAAAGATTGATTTCTGGATTAGCTTCATCACGTGCTGCTGCACGTCTCGGTTATACAAATGCACTTACCATTATTCTTTCTTCATTTGGAAAAGATTGGCCGGTTGAAATGTTATTTGAATTGGCCGATCAGAAGTTGCCGTTAAATAAAGCAGTTGGTTTTTCAGTTTTCTTTTTTGTTTTCAAAATTGGTATTTTAAGTGTCTTTTTTATTTTTAAAGTATTTGTTACTTTCTTCTTCTTATTTTTAATGATAATACATATTTTTTCAAGCAGGGTGGTATGGTTTTTGTCTTGAGTATAATGTGAGAGAAAGAGTAGCTTTAAAGGAAAGTAATTCAAAAAATTCAGTTGTTTCATTCGTTTTATTGTATGCTGAACTTTTCTTAGTGGTTATGATTTTACTATAAAATTATTGCATTTCAGGAAAGTCCTGGTTCTGTATTGGGTCAACATTTATTACATCTTGCAATGGTGAACAGCGATGCATATGATGAGGCATATATGTTTACACTTTTTAGTTATCTTTAGGATTTTTTGATCCATTTCATATTTTGTTTCAAGTAAACTATATCAGTTTTAGGCTTTATTTGAAATAGGAAGGCGAGAAATGAGCTTGGCAGAGAAGCAAAGTGCATTGGCATATTCCATAGCTAATTTATTAGCTCAATGTGCAAATAAATTGCGTGGAAAGAGATTTGCAAAGAATTTTTGGCCCCTTGTGAAAAATGAAGTTACGAAACCTCTAGATTCAATTAATCCGGAATGGTTCTACTTTGCCCTGCTTGTTATGGAGAAGCATAGTGTAAGTTGAAGATTTAAAAGTAAAATTTCGAGAATGAAGCAGTGTTAATCACTTATCAGAAATCTGAATAAATCGATCATCGTTTGCTGCAGGATACGTTGAAAGCTGAGGTGTCATTTTTGTCAACCAGCGGAAAGCTAAATATTTCCGATGAAGACTGTGATGCAGTTATCAACATTTTAAAGGTTATTTTAGACTATTATTTCCACATGTCGTAAGTTTTATTTATCATAAATGATATCGATCATTATGTAAGATGAGAAATGATTAATTTGAGGTGAATCTTGTTTTATACTTTTCAGGCGTTAGTACTAAAACGCTACATTTTTTAAAAATTAATCAAACTGTTTCATTCTAAACACAAGAAAGTTTTTGAATAATATTGAAGCACTTTTTAAGAAAGCAAGTGGCTTTGCTGAGAACGAATTAATATCAAAATTATTAATTCTCGCGAGGATATCGAGGAATTTCGAAACTGTTTATAGTAAAGTTGTCGAAAAATGGTTGTATCATGGCGATTTACACAGAGTAATGATTAATTTCAGTCATAATAAGATGCTAATAGTTAACTTTGTGGATTTCTTACGAGAAATCTAGATTAATCTTGATTTATCTATATTCTATTAGAAATGCTTTATATTGAATAATTTTTAACTTTGATAATAATTTGTCACTGCTGGCTTCCATTAAATACGAGTTTCAGGTCATATCGCGCGCTCTACCATTTATTAATACGATGCTACAACAAATAGATTTTGAAAGTGATGAGGTATCCGTTTTGAATTGTCAATTCCTTACTATTTTTCTGTGTTCTCATCTAATTTTGATAAAAAGCGTGGAAGTATTATGTGCTTTTTCTTTTCAAGAATTCTTTAATAGATTTTCAATTTCCTATTATTCCTCTAAAATTTGTTCATTTATTTAGTTAGTGGCTGTGTTTTCTCCCGAATTTGTGCAGTTGTTAAGATCGATACGAAAGAGCAACGAATTTCGTTTCTTATTCTCCATGATTGAGGCTATTCTTCTTGTTCTTAAAGAGGTTTTTTTTGCATCTTTTTTTTTTTTTCATAAATTGAGCTTCTTTGAATCGGATTTGTTTCTGTAATTTTGTTAATTTAAAAAGGAAAATGTGATTTTTGTTTTTAAAAGAATGTTCTATTTTAGTCGCTTACTTCGAAAGAGTGGACGTCAGCTAACATTGCTAAATTACTTGACAATTTCGATCGCGTTGGAGATGGAAATTTTGATGAATTTATCGGCGGAAATGTTAAAATCACAGAAAAGATTCTACTGCAATTACATAGTGATGCCCACGACATAATCCTTGAGGTAATTAATAAATTTAATCGATTACTAAGTAACACGCTTCAAATATTGAATCATATTACAAAACTTAATTGTTCTCTCTTTGACCAAATCTAAAGAATTTGTTTTTATAGGCTCTGAAAGGAGGTGGTTGGAGATTAAGACGGATAACAAATGTATTTCTGCATTGGCCAATAAACATCCAGGAAAGTGTCTTGAAACTATTATTTAAACACGGAAAGTGGACAGAGGAAGTAAGTTTTTTAACTTATTGGCTTGCCATTTATCCGTTCTATCTTATAAAAATAAGGTTTGAAATTTTTTTGTTTTTTGTTTTAATGATTTTGATTTATTTTTTGATTTACTTCTTACGACGTAATCCTTCGAATATTTCAGATGCGCAATGCTTTTTGTTCATCAATTGCTTCCTTATTCATTGTCAGTGTAAGGGCAGGCAGAAATGTGACTGCGATTTATAAAGAAGAACACAAAAAGTTCTTACAAAAATTAAGCAAAAAACAGGACACAGGAATTAAGTTGCCTATGATTAGCGGGTGATTTTTTTTATTCGTTTATATGGCCTCAACTATCTTTTAAATTTGTATATTAAAAGGAAAACTGTTCTTGGTATTGATTTGCATTGTTATTAAGACGTCATGCAGTTGTCTTATATATACATTATTCTATTTGAGCAGCAAGTATCATCAAAATTTTTGCAGACCTTTATCCATTTTTATGAATATGCTTACACTTTGGATAGCTGCAACATCTGATTCGAATGAGCGTCATGCATATTTAAAAGATCTTGCGGAGATAGCAGCAGTTGGTGAAAAAATGGCTGAAAACGACAATAGTAATAATGTGGCGGTAACATACATTATCTTATTTTCAGTTTGTCTAAACACAAATCGTTGTAGAATGTCAATGTAATGCTTTGATTCTATTATATGTGTGATATTCTTTCCTCCTTTGCATTTTCTGTACTGTTTTGGAATGATCTTTATATTTTATTTTCTTTGTCATGATTTCAAATATATTGCAATTGTTTAGCTTTAGTATTTCTTTGTGCTTATATATTTATGTAAAATGCTTTTCAGGTTCTAAATGATATATTGCTTTCTTTATTAAGTCGTCCACATCGATATCATCGTTCAGTCATTCATTATGTCTTTGCTTCGTTTGTTCCACAGATGAAACTAGAAAATCTTCTACAGATTCTTGAGGTTCAATTTTATTGACCATTAAGTTAAATATTTTACATTTACTTTCAAATCTGACTAACTTCAATCAATTAGTAATATATACTAATATATTGAAATTTGTATGCAGCAATATTAATGCCTGAAATTATGCTATAAATATTTTATTGCTTTTTGAAGACTGTCAATCTCAGCAATGAAGAATTAATGCAAGAAAGCAATGTAAGCGAAAGCGATGATGAGGAAGATGAAGATGAGGATGGTGTTGGGGATTCTGAACAAACTAGTGGAGAAAGCAGTGGTTTGATTAGTTTATGTTTATTTTTATGTTAGTTAAAGAAAAGCGTATAAATTATATTAATAATTTATTCCAGAAATCAATAATAATGACGATATTACGAATGAACATGAAGAGACAGATGAATCTGAATTTGAAGACGAAGATGAAGGAGAAACTGAAGTTGATCATGAATTTGTCAATAACCTGAAAAAAGCACTTGGTTCTGCTGCTGCTCATTCAGATGATGGCAGTGACAAGGTCACACGAGTTTCTTAAAAATTTCTATTTGATTGAAATTATGCCAGGTTAACGATAGCCTTTTCTGAAAAATGAACTTTGTTTTGGCAGTCTCTGATTTCTTTCAGTTTATTCTCTTTCAAACGATCCATTTATTTGAGAAAAAAATCACTTTCTAGGACAGCGTATCATCCACAGTAAGTGATGAAACAATGTTTCGCCTGGATGAAGGCCTAGCAGCTGTATTTCGTAAAAGGATGAAAAATTCGCGAACTCTAAGTGCATTCTTAGTAGAACAGGCTCAACAGTTTCGTGCTAAATGTTTTGATTTATTATTGATAGCGGTATCTCATCAGGATGCAGCATACACAACAGTGGTATTATCCATTTTCTTTTTTTCTTTTTGGATTTTTTTTTTTTGCAATGAAATAACAGTAAGAAAATTATGTGTTTTGCAGGATCTTATTTTACCTTTAATTGAGTGTGCTCAACAAGCTCTACGTAGAAAAGACGGTGAATTAACTTTCAAAAAAGCAACAAACTTGTTGGAAATTATTATAAAGCATAAAAAGGTATTAAATATTGTTTATACTATTCGGCCTATATTTACTTTTCTGTGCTAAATTTTTCATTATTTATATTTATTTAGAGTGAGTTAAATGAAAAGAATGCTGTCAAACTATTGGATGAACTTGTTCTGAAGACATCACAAACTGTAAATCCTGTTATGAGGAATATCCTTGGCAGTGTTGCGAGTTTTTTAGTAAGTCTTTTGTTTTTTGTTTTTCTCAAAAACATATACAATATCAATTGGTTCATTTTACTTTGCCAGTTTTAGTTCTCAGGCTGTTATGATGCAAAAGAAAATAATGTTGCGGAGAATATGCGCACAAAAGTAATCACATTGTTGGAAAAATACATGAATGATAACAAAAATCAAATATTAAGCGAAATTGTCACTGCTCCTTTTATTAAGTATCCGGTAATTTTTTTAAATTATTTAAAAATTCAACTTAATATAATCTGAGTCAATACAACATTCTGCTAAAAATTGTTTCATAATTTATAATTTTTAGCATGCTTTGTTAAGCGAACTTCCACGAATCATCGATTTTGCCTTTAATGAAAATATTCGAACATTTCAAAGAGTATGTTTATCACTTTCAAAACTATCTTTTTGTATTTGTATTATTTATTTTATGATTGTTTTTGCAATTACTATTTATGATCTTTGTTCACAACAAACACATATAACGATCAAAAGATCGTATAGGCTTGCATTTGTAACTTTCGCAGTAAGGGAATTAGTACTTTGTGGGATGAATGATTTCTATCAATCATTGGTTTTATTTTTCATTTCAAATCCTCTAGTCTTACACATCAAACAACTGCTATTTGGTATTGGTATCATCAAGAGGCCAATTTATTTTCTTTCAAGCACTAATATTTCTCAAATCAGAATTTGTATTTTCACTTTTTTTTTTTTTTAGATTGAAGCTCTATCTTGCACAGTGGCCTTTTTGCGGAAGGATTTGGTGAGCTTTATTTTCTTTTTTTTTTCAGATTTTTGTAGATATTTAATTTATTAGTGACAACAGACACTCAAAATTTCTAGAACGAGAGCAGTAGCATTTATTCATATGCATTTTTATAACTGTTTAAAATTAAATAATACGAAAATGAAAGTTTGCAAAGGCACACTGAATATAAGTTAAAGAAATAATTTCTGCTGGAATGAAAAAAGTTTTTTTTTTTTTTTTTGATTCTTATGTATAGTCACACTGAGGATAAAATTATGCAGGTTACATTTAAATTTTGAAAATCACTAAGCAAATACACTGGATTAAGCTTTCGCTTTTCTTGTTTGGCAAGTTCAAATTTCGATTTAGTATTAATTGGACTTGTTATAGCGCAAACACCACTTATACAAGACTGTATGTAAGAGGACGAAATTTTAATGCATAGGGAAGAAATTTTAAAATCAAGCTGGAACACATACACACACACACAGTATTACTACTATTCATGCGGATGATGCACTGAACAGTGAGCAGTATATGAGCAACCATTCAGATGAATCGATTGAAACGATAGTTTTAACAAAAGTTCGAGATTTGTTTCAGATGCTTAGATTGCAAGGAAGTTTTTAGGTTTCAGATTACATAGTGAGATGTTGTCAGTCATTTAAATTGAAATTTGATATTTTGAAGGAGTACAAGAGTATATCTGCATCAAATAAAAATGAAAGATTGCATGAAAAACGAATTGAAAGGACAACAAACTTGCAAAACAAATTTGGCGGAAGCTAGTGTAAAAAGATAAATTATAGGTGAAGAATGAGCAGCCTGATCGGCAAAAGATATGGAAAAAAATTGCCAAATGTTTATGCTCTTTTGCGAGCAGATTCTTCTCAAATTTAAATTTTGATAATTCAAAACCTCGATTTTTTGCATATTTGGTTCGAGTTCTTACCTCCTTTATTTCAATTAGCGAAGAATCAAGCAAAGTAAGGATTTTTTTTTTTTAATTTTTATTTCTTCCATTAAGTTATTATTTGCGTCAGTGATGTCACATTTCCTGTTTGTCAAAATATCTCAAAATGAGATTGAAAATATTTCAAAATGAAATTGAAGAAAGAGTGCAAAATTTCTTTCTTTTTTCTTTTTTTATTTAATATTTAATCATTTGCAGCAATGCTTACAAGAATCTTTGACTGAAGTATTAAAAGAATTGTGCAACAACACTGAATTTTGGAAAGCAAGCGATAGACTTAAACGTTTTAATACTGCCTCGCAAAGTATTTGTGGTCGAAAGGCTTTAGCATCACTCAAACACTTGCTTAGCATTTTGGAACCATAAGAAATGTTTGATATGATATTAACATGCTCTTTGTTCTGCATTATCTCCATATATTCTCCATTTTGATAAGGAGAGAAGTACTGTCCAATAAATGAAATTGAACGTGAGAAACTGAAATAATTATATAATAATAATTCGGAATCAGTTTATCATCGTTTCATTTAACCTTATTACTTTAATTTTCTTTTATACAGTTGGTGATCTTCTTTTTTTTTTTTTTTTTTCGATGTATTTTCGATGATTTGATCACTTTGTTTTGTAAACAGTTTGTTGAGTTTTTGATAAAATTTACATTATGGTTGAAAAAAAAAGTTACAAAATTTTAATAAACTATAAGAATAAGTAATTTTTGCAGAAAATTAGCGAAGATGAAGAGTTGATAAGATGAAATGATAACAAACCGAAACAGGGAATACAATTCGAGCGATAAGATCCACTCGATTATGCTTACAAAAAGTAGCACATTTTAGTGGACATTTTGGTTTAGCTACCACAAATACCGAAACATCTTGTTCGCATGTACATTCATCTATACGAGCATCTATAATAATTTATTTATTAGCATGAAATTTATTCCAATTCTTTCTTTTTTTCAATTTTTACTTCTTTATACTTATACCTTGAAGTAAATCTGGTGCTTGTAATTGCGGTGTAAGTTCAAAAATATTTTTGCTTTTATTCTTCTTCTCATCTTCATATTTCTTTCTGGAATATGTTACAGTAGCATATTCGATAAGTGCTAATACCACATTTAAGTAACAAAATCCAAGATAAACATCTACAGCCTGAAATATCAAAATATTTATTGAATTAAAATGTATGTTAAAAGAAAATTGTATTTATGTATAAAAATGAAAAATTTTATTCGAAACTTACTGAAATAAGCAACCTTAATGTAGGAGACAGGTGGTAATCGTCTATTTGTACTCATCAGAAGATGTGTTTCACTCAATATAGTAAATGTTCCAATAACGGTACGTGATGGAGCTGATTCAGGATTGATCCAGAATGATACCCAGCTAATAAAGACGACAAGTATTGCAGGTATGTAAATCTGAATCATGTAAAAGCTAAATTCTCGTTCGAATAAGAATTGTGCCCATAAACGTGAATAAGAACCTAAATAAATTTCATCATTAATCAATTGTTTTTTTTTTTGCACAAAAAAAAAAATTTAAATTTAATGCATTTACATTTTAATGCTTTCAACCATTAACTATACATTGTAACGTTTTTTTTTTTTTTTTTTTTTTTTTAAAGTATAATTTCTTTTATTAACTAATAATTTTTATTTATATTAAGCTTTTCTATCTATGATATTATTTTCAATGAAATATATTGACATTTCTAATTTTTAATAAAAAAAAAAAAAGAAAAAAGTATTCCATATTATTTACTTTAATCTTAAAATTAATCTATGATGAATTAATGAAATAGTTTTGAAAAATAAAAAATTATTTTAATAATATAAGTAAGAATTAATAATAGACAAACCAGATGAAGTTGTTGCTATTGTTTTATTAATGCATAAACTGGTAAATCGATAACTGGTCAATTCGAATGGTTCAACTTTGACCGCTGCTTCACAGTGGACATCTTTTAGTTGACACCAATGATAATGTATTGTTGCAATAGTATAACCATCTCAATTTTTTGTTCTTTTTTCTTCTTTTGTTTTATTTTTTATTTTTACTTATAATTCTTTTTCTTTTTATTAATAATAATCCTAAAGAAAAGGAAAAATTTTTGAAAAATTATTTAATCTGAAATTATTGTTGAAATGTGATTGCATACAAAATTTGTCATTATTTTATATAATTATTTTATATAATTTAATCAATAAATATCTATCTTAATGTCAAATTATTCAATAGTTTCTTTTTTTTTTTCAGAAATTTAAAATAATTGAATTTAAATCTAAAATAAGAAGTTAAAGTTAAATTTGCAATGTTAAATTATGAGCAACACTTTCTTAATTCTAAAATTATATATTATTTTTTTTATTTTAAATGAACACATAATCTTTCATTTCTTTCTCTTTTCTTTTTCTTCATTAAATGCTTTTTTTTTGAAAAATTTATCGTTTCAAAATTATTCACATCTTTTAATCTTTCTTTTTTTTTTCCATATTATCGTTTATATTTCGTAGATACTTATGCAAATTTTTTAAACAACCCATTTTGATATAATATAATTTAAAAAAAAAAAAAATTTTTCAGTGAAAATAGAGGATAAAAAAAAAGGCTAGATGCACCAGGTCTATTCATACATACATACATATATATATATAAATTAAAAAATTACAAAACAAAATAATCAAATTACAATTACCATAGTAATCTCAAATTATAAACAAAATATTAATTAAAAGAGCAATAATTATTATTTATAAAGTAATAAGCATGCATGTGCATGCATGCATGCATTATACTTCCTATATATTGCATATTATCACGCAACACAAAAGTGAAATAATAAATATATTTGCAACTACATCAATATACATTATCAATTATCAGTTATCAATCATGAACAATAAATTATTAATTAATTCATTTATATTCAATTATTTATTTAATTTTAGAAAAAAGCGACAAAATTGATCAAAAAAATAGGCTTGATCTTACTATGATTATCATTTGATTATCCTCGTTTGATTTGTTTGCATATATATGTTATATACATTTATTACTATTTTTTTATTAATCAAATAATGTATATTCACTGGTATCCACGAATGAACTAAGCACTGTCATAATTGTCCAATAAAATACTGAAATTATAAATTAAAATTAAATTTGCTTCTATTCATATCAATTTTATGTTTACGAAACAAAAGAAACAAAAATCATCTTGTGTTGCTTATAAAGTTTTTATTTTCATTTGAAAATTATACTAAGTTAAAAATTTTTGATCATTTAAAAAACTTTATTATATAAAATTGATATGTATTTTTTTAATTCTGTTTTAAAATAAACATTTCATATTTTATCATTATCATAATCTTTTTTCCCTTTTTTTTTTTTTTTTTTCGTTTTTATAGCAAAAATTATTCTATTTATGATTAGTAATAATAATAATAATAATAATGATAACTGCTAAATTTATTATATTGAAAAGAAAAGAAAAGAAAAAAATTACTTACAATTAAAAGTGAAAAATAGCATAGGGAAGAAGAAGCGTGAGCATTTATCAATTTTAGACGGCGTCACACTTCTACACGTACGTGATGCTCGTTTTGGTTTCATGAACGGCGCTGGCCATAATGTTCGATCTGTCACCAATCTCGGATTCTGTATGAGCGGTATTGTACGACAATCACATTCTGGCATCATTGCTTCTGTTACACTCTGTTAATATTACATTCATTAAATTAAAAAAAAAAAAATTTAATTAATTGATATTTTTATTTAAATTTAAAAAGAATTAAAAACTTTCTATATTTCTGATTTATATCTAATAATATTTTATAATAACAGAATCAAAAAAAAAAAAAAAAAAAAAACAAAAAAAAGAGGGAAAAAAGAAATTGAGAAACAGCTATATCTGATAAATGAATTGATAAATGATAAGGAGAAAATAAATGTGCTAATCAGTAAATGATAGGATTTTTCTTTATTATTAATTTAAAATATAATTAACTTGTATTTTTAATTACAAATATTTGTAGTACAGAAGCTTACAATGTTAGGATTTTGACTTGGTCCACCAAGGAACGTATCCATTTGCTGAAAATTTTAATAGTTGAAAAAAAAAAAAAAAAAAAAAGTGTTAAAGCATAAAATAATTAAAAAGACATTTCATGCATTTTACGTGAAAACATTTACGTGTTCACCTTGGACAATACCGTTAGCTTGCTATTGCATGCAGCGTGACGCTAATTAGCTTTTTGCTATTAATCGGAAATGCAAATTTCATGTTTGTTATTTATTTAAATTAGCTGCAATAAGATCACTTTTTTTCTCTTTTTTTTTTTTTGAAACCAAACTTACTTTTTACTATTACTCTAATGATTACAATCTAAATAAACTAAATAATATATTAATTCATTTTTTTTTTAAACTAACCAACAGTTTTCTGATATTTAAAAGTTAATTTATTAAAAAATGCTTATATTTTATTGCAAAATTTTAAAAATTCACTAAAATTAATATTCATATTTATGAATATTATAATAATTATTACCTGCTATTAAATTTATTATCTTTAAAATAATTGCTTCATCTAATTATTATTAAAACAATTATTTTATCTTAGTGAAATGAATTACCTGTGTACGAATGAATTTTTCATCTTTTTTATTTGCAAATTTTTTGCAAAGTAGTGATAATGTGTGCATGGGTAGGTTAAAATAGAGTGATAACTAAGCGCTATTTGATGATGATATGGTCTACTTAGATCACTTACTTTGATGGAGGATTTACCCGGCGAAGCATAAGTATCATTGATAAGAGTCATATTTTGATATGACTGAAATTATATTTACTCTTTCATATCCCTAACTTTTTGTTGTTTCATTAAATTTGCGTTTTTTCTTTTGAAGAAAAAAAAAAAAGTTTATTATTTTTTTTTTCTTAAAAATAGAAAAAAAAAAAGGAAATGTAATGTTGAAATTTGAAAAGAAGAAAAAATACCATTTTTGTTTCAGCACTAGAAGTAATTTGACCGTACATTGGCATTTCAACAGGCATTCGTTGTTCCGCTTGTTTACGTCGCCTTTCACGTCTTTGCGCCAATTTTTTATTCATATAACTAACTACTGCATATTCAATTAAACTTGCAAATACCATTACAAAACTGAAAAAAAATTTTTTTTTTTCCTTTTTCTATTATTATTTCTTAAAAAAAATTTATTCAACCAATCTTCAAATTTTTTTTGCTATTTTAAATTCCTTTTATTTATTTATTTATTTTTTTTGGTTTTTATAAGTTAAAAAAAGCTATAATATTTGTAATATCTTTGAAAATTTTAATTTCATATTACAATTTATTATGACATTCTTTTGCTTTAGCATTTATCTTATTATTAACTATAAAACTAACCAAAAATTCAAGAAAACATCAAGACCTTTGATATAACTAACTTTTGGCATTGCATTCTAAAAAATAAGACATAATTAATTAGCTAATTATCAAATAATTTTTTTGTTTTCAAAATTTTATTACTTATTTAGAAAAGTAACGTTTATATCTATACTTAAAAATTCAATCATTAAAAAAAAAAAAAAAATGAAAAAAGAAGGAAAAATAAAACATTTTATTAGACTATGAGAAATTTTTGCTAACAATTTCGAAAATTTTCATAATTATCACTTAAACTAATTAAAAATTTATTTTTTAAATTTTATTTAAAAAAAAAAAAAAATGTTTACATTAGTTGTAGTAATAAGTGTTGTCATTGTTAATACAGTAGTAACACCAAGGCCAACTCGTGCTGGTGATGCTTCACGATTAAGCCAAAATGATACCCAAGAAATGGTGACAATAAGCATTGAAGGAATGATAATATTCATGAGGTAGAAGCCAAGATTACGACCCAACAGCACTTCAAAATATAATCGAACATATACACCTGTAATAGTTATATTTAATTATTTATTGTATTAATTGTTTAGTATTATTAAATTTCAAATAATTATTGCTAATACATCTAATTTTTTTTTTTTTTTTCATCAAATTTCATTTTATTTCGTTTCATTCATTCATTTCTTTTTTCTTATTTATTTATTTAATTTTTTTTTTTTTACTTTTTATTAAAGTGCATAGAGCAATGAAGCGAAAATTAATTGTAATTTTTAAACAGAAATTGCTCATTTCATTTTTTACAACTAAATCATTCAGCGTTAATAATTTCAAATATAAAAGTTTATCTTATCTTCAGAGGTTTCCTTTTTTTTTTTAACTTTTTCTTATCGAAATGTTAAAAAAAAAAAAAAAATGAGACGATAGAATAGACAAAAAGAAAAAAATATTTTTTTTTTATTTTGAAATTTTTATTACAAGAAAAAGGAGAAAAAAAGAAACTTTATAAATAATAACCTTTTCTAAAAAAAAAAAGAAATTTTTTTAGAATATATTGATTCCTCTCTCTTTCTTTATTTCCATCTCTCTCTCTCTCTCTCTTTCATCATTTTTTTTTTTTTTTTGTAATCAAACATTTACTTATTTGTTACAAAAAAATATAATTTTAATGAAATTTCATTTTCATCTCATTTTCAGCAATTTTTTTTTTAATAAACTACAAAAAAATAATTTTATTTTTAATGTAATTTATTCAATGCTTTTTTTTTTCTTATCATTATATTTTAAATATTTCCCTCAGTTTTTTTTTTAAGTTTTATCTTTCCAGGAAAATTTGAAAGCAATAGTTGATTGATTTTTTTTTGCTTCTGAGTGAATAGCACTAATTTCCATATATAAATAAATGTATAAATAATATGTGATTGTATATAAATGTAAATTTAAATAAATAAATATATAAAATATACATGTAGAATGGAAAAAAAAGAGGAAAAAAGATAAATAAAATTTGAATGGTACATAAACATGGCCAATAGGCTAATATAGGCTTCTTCTTCTCCTTTTGGCTTTTGGCTTCTGGCTTCTAGCTTTTGGCTTAGCTTTACATTTATCAAAAGTAAAAGAAGGATAAAATAACTTTCCAAACTTTCATATTCTCATGAATCATAAAATTTATTGAAGAAAATAAAGGAGAAAAAAAGGATCACAAATTTTTTAATTTTTAATGGTATATATGAAAAAAAAAAATGGAAGAACAAATAAAAAAGTAAATAAGCATTTTTTTTTTTTTGACTATAAAATTTTCTTTTTTTCCTATTATATCAAAAAAAAAAAAAAAAAAAAACGAAGAAATTTATTGATTTAGTTTTTTAATTTTAAATTATAATTAGAAGGTTTTTTTTTTTATTTGAAGCCAAAGTTATGTTTATTTTAATTTTATTTTTATCGTATTTTACCATTACATAACTAATTTATTCATGCATTTTATATAAACAATAAAAAAAAAGACATTTAATAATCGAAATAACAATATTTTTGGTTATGTTTTTCTCTTCAAAAAAAAAAAAATTTTGAAAATTTTGCCTATTATAAACTCAATAATTTTAATTTATCTTTTTTCTTTTGTTTCAGCTTTCAAATTTCTTTTTTTAACTTTTTTTAAATTAATTTTTTTATCAAATTATCAAAAAACAATGTCATATCTTCATTATTGTCATTATTGTTGATGAATAATAATAAAAATGATAAGGTTGATAATTAAAACCACTTTTTTTAAGAGAAAAAAGATAAGAGGAAACTAACCTGAAGAAGTAGTTGCCCTGGTAACATTTACCCGATAACCGACCGGTTTAAATTGTGGCAGCGAAATATTCTCGAACCCGACTACTTGACCCTGATCCCTACGATCTTTGCCCCAGAATAAAGCTATATCAGCCGTTGTATAACCATCTGAAAACGAAAAACCATAATATGTAAGGAAATTTTTGTATTTTAAAAGTCTTTAAAATATTTTCTCGAAGTCTTTTTTTTTTAATATTTTCTCGAAGTCCTTTTTTTTTTTTTTTTTTGAAATTAAATGCAACAAAAATTGAAAAATGATGTGCACCAGTGTCATATATAAATGTGTGCAGCAGTAAGTAGCAATATCAGTAATAATTAGCATAAACATAACATAAATCAAAAACATAAATACAAACATAAACATTAAAATATAAGCATAAAATGATGGAAGCAATGTTAAAAAGAATTATTAAATTAAGCAATAAATTTAAATTTATTATTTTGAATAAGGAAGAAAAAAAAAAAAACAGTGCTATGAGAATTTAAATTAGTAATTTGGGAATTGAAAAAGCAATAAATGTTGCTTTGATTAGTTTAAAATACTTCAAGTGATATGTTGAAAGATAGAAAAAAAATACCAAATATTATTTTTATTATTATTCAATTTTTTTTATAAAAATATGTTTCTAATTATAAATTTCAATAAATCTAATATAATTTCATTTTTTTTTTTTTTTTTTTTGACAAATTACTCTGACAATCAATTGTTAACTTTAGGAAAAAACTCAAATTTTTTTATTTTATTTTTTTTTGTTGTAATATTTCAAACTTTCAAAGCTTTTTTAAGAAAAAGAAAACGAGCAATAAATAAAAATATTTAATGAATAAGTTGTTGCAATTATCAATCAAATCATTGATAAGTATTTTCGGGATACGGTCATTTGTTATTATTCACTACAAAAATCGGATGACCCTGTCCTGAAATACTTATCCTATAATAATGCCAGAAAATAGTGATTATTAAGTTAATAATTCTATTAGTAATCGATTGATTGCTATAATCAGAGAATATAAAATCATTCAAACATACTTTTTTACTCAATATGAAATGAAACAAATTAACTTAAATCAAATAATGTAATATGAACTGATTGATTACTATTAGTTAAAAATTACAAAAAAATGAACAAAGTTATTTAAGGTTAAGCATCAGAATAATAATAAAATTGCTATGTTTAAGCATACGAATAATTATAATAATTAATAATAATAATAATATCACTAATGTATTACTATGATATGTATGATGTTTTTAACAAATTCGAACTTTTTCCCTAAAATTACAATTTTTCATCTTTTTTTATTTATTTATTTTTTTTGGAAAGCGTTTGTTATTCGTATGGATAAATATATTAAATTACAAAGAATAAAGTAGTAAAACGAAAATTGAAAACAGAAAAACAAAAAGGAAAGAAAAATGATAGCTAATAGGTTATGAAATTTGATCACATTTCAAAATTTGTTAATTATTATTTCAATTCTAAATTACTCAATTAGCATTATGATATCTTTTTTTTTTTTTTTTTTTTTAAAATTAAAGTTAAAAAATTTTTTAGCTTCCATCTTCAATTTGACTGTTTGATGAAGTGATGAAAATTAAAGAATGTAATTATTTAAATTGAATGTTGGAAAAAGATTTTCTAAAATCAGAAATGATTTGGAGTTACTTTATCAGGTCAATACATTCATTAACTGCGAAGCAATTAGTGGTAGATAAATTAATTAAAGCTTACCTTAAACATTCAAATTTTGCGCCATGTCTTAAAATAGATTTTATGAAAAAAATTAAACTTACTTGAAACTTGATAACAACATGTCTATCATAAACCATTATCGTATAATCATAATTTTTCTTAAGCACACTAAATAGCATTCAATAGTGACACATTCCCAATTATCATAATTATCAATTGTTGACAATAAACAATAAAATAATAATAACAATTTAGGATATTGAATTGATCAAATATTTCAAGCAATTTAAATACTTATTAATGAATAGCAAATGCATTTACTAACATTATGGAATTTTGTTTCAAATAAATTTATATAATGCTACTATCAGATATTCACCAATTGTATATAATTTAATTTTAAATAAGCATAAAATTGTCTAAAATGAATTTTATCTTTCATCATATTTTTCTTCCATTGATTGATAAGTAAAACTAAATTAATAAAAAATATGTCAAAGAAGGAAATGAAAAACAATGCAATTTCATAATTGAAAATTTTCTACAACTTAAAAATAATAATACAATTCAAAATTTAAAACAATACATTTGAGAGAAGACACTGGTGCACCTTGTAGTAAATCTGGTAATAAACATACAATACAAATTTAATTTATAAATAATTTTTCAAACTGAAGAATAAGTTGAATTATGATGCAAGAAGGATAGTTTCATTTCTGTGCTCAATTTAAGACTTTGTTTTAGATTCAAAAGAAAGAATTTTTTTTTCTTCTTGATCATTAATAATATTAAATTACAACAAAGTTTGAAATTTTATAAATTTTCAGCAAAATGAATAAAGCTGAAAATTCTTTGGTCATCTTGGAAAAAATAATGCAAAAGTAATGTGAGTTAATTTTTTTTTTTTTTTTTTTTAGCAATTTAGAGAAAAAAGAAAGGAATCTTACAACTTTCGATTTCAAGTTTGCATTTCTGTGAATCCATCGGGAAAAGTTGTAGTTTCATGGGACATGTTGCTGTCACCGTTAATCTGAATGAAAATGAGACCAAGTTTTATTGAAATTAACTTTTTGACAATGCTATCAAATCATTATTGATACATTCATTCCGTTTTTTTCTTTTTGATGTCCATTTTTGTCGTTTTATTTGAAAATTCCATTTTAATTTATGCAATTATCAAAAATTTAAATTTAGAAAAAATTTTCACTGTTATCATTTGCATATGGGTGCATAGGATATCATAGAAGGATTGATTATTTTTAGCAGTATCAACTGATAAGATGATAAATACTTTTTTTTTCTTTTTCGTTTTTTCTCATAAAAGTAATCTTAGATCATAATAATCAATATAGTCTCTCACTAAATTTATTGGAAACATTTGCATTGTATAATGGTATATAGTTGTATTAGATTTATCTCTATTTTGAAATATTAAATTAATTATTATTTAGAAAGTCAAAAAAGAAATTTTTCGTTATGTAAATTAATGCAAATTGTTTTAGTCAAATAATGGCAAAATAATTTGTAATCTTTAAAGTAGTAATCATTCACATGAATGATTATTGTTGAGTTTAGTTTTAGCATAATTGTTGAAAGCTGAAAAAGGGAATGACGCATTGTTATTGCGCAATATGCATAAACAACATTTTTGCGCACCAAATTTTAAACCAAACACAAATTTGGTTTAGATTAAAAGGGATCAAAGAGGAATTTCAATTATTTATCAAAATTTAAGCAATATGTAAGCACTAATCCACTTTTTTTTTTTTCTGAACAAAATCCTACTCTTTTCTTTCCCTCCTTCATTTTGTTTCCACAAAATGAGAAATGATGACACTAACTAAACTAAATGGTTTATCCATCTTTTCCTCAGACTTCTTCCATTTGCGTTTAGCTTATCAAAAATTTCAAATTTCCTCCTTTAAGCCTTAATGTCTCTCATTCATCTGTCCAATGTTTCCTAGCCTCATTCATCATCCTTTTATTCATTCATTCAATCCTTTCTTATATAAACTGTCAAACAAAAAAAAAGGAAAAAAAAATTTTTCATACGTTCTTTCTTTGAACATCAATTTTTCTCACTTTAAAATCTTATTCCATCTCTCTATATTCTATCCACCTCTATCATCTTATTCCATCCTTTCCTACCTAATCCTATCCAATTTTATTCTATTCTATACTGTTCACTCATATCTGTCATACCCTTTCCTGTTCCACCTTATTCTATTCTATCCAACCCTATCCTATTCCTCCAGTCTATCTCAGTTTATCCTATCCTACCCTACTCTATTCTATCTCAGTTTATCCTATCCTATCCTACTCTATTCTATCTATCCTATTCTGTTCTATCTCAGTTTATCCTATCCTATCCTATCCTACTCTATCCTATCCTATTCTATTCTATCTCAGTTTATCCTATCCTATCCTATCCTACTCTATTCTATCTATCCTATTCTGTTCTATCTCAGTTTATCCTATCCTACTCTATTCTATCTATCCTATTCTATTCTATCTCAGTTTATCCTATCCTACTCTATTCTATCTATCCTATTCTTTCTATTCTATCTCAGTTTATCCTATCCTACTCTATTCTATCTATCCTATTCTATTCTATCTCAGTTTATCCTATCCTATCCTATCCTACTCTATCCTATCCTACTCTATTCTATCTCAGTTTATCCTATCCTATCCTATCCTACTCTATTCTATCTATCCTATTCTGTTCCATCTATCCATCCATCTACCTATCCTATCTAATCTGTTCTATCCTATCCCAATCCTTTCATATTCTACCATAAAATGCTCCCTCTTAACTAATCAATAGCATCCAATTCTCTTCCCTTTACTAATTACATACTATTGCTGCTCCTTTTGATATCAGCAACTGATAAGATTATTAATGAAAATTTGAGATGAATGGAATGCTTGAAAGAAAAAAAAAAAAGTGGAGAAGAAGAGAGAATTATTGCTAATTTTGGTGTGAATATTTTGTTTTGATGTTTGATGTGATATGATGAGATACACTGATAACACTGATAATGAATGATTGATGATAATAATAAAAGATACCTCAGAAAATATAAGTTCACTTCAATATTTACATGCATTTTTTCATTTTCCTTTTCACTTTTTTCATTTTTTTTTTTTTTTTTTAGACACGTTCTGATGAATTAAATTAACTTCGTTAGACGATTATTTCTCAAGCAAATAATGTTAGAAATAAGAGGAGAAAAAATAGAGCAAAAGAGGGCAGAAAAGTGAAAAGATAAAATAGTCAAACAAATCATTATTGAATATTATTAGGAAATCGATTGATTGATTGATTAATTTAATATGAATATGTGGATTATTGATTTATCTTTTCCCGGTTTTACTTTTTCAAATTAAGAAAAGAAAAAAACAGGATATCGTTATTGGCAATCTTTTCCTAAAATACTGATAATGATGCTGATTGCAGTGTTGATAATTAATTAGTGCTATTGATTTGACGATAATGATAATAATTGTAATAAGAACTTGTAAATAAGAGAAAAAAAAAAAGGAAGGAACAAAGTATAAATTAATAAACTTAAAAAAAAAAATCGAATGTTTGAGAAGTATTGCAAGAAAAGCAAATAATTATAATGAATATGATAGAACCTTTGGGAAGTAAAAACGGTACCATCCGGATCGATTCTTAAAAAGGAATTATGGGTTGTTGCAGTATGAAAGAATGATTTCTTTTCATTCGGAAAAAATGTATCCGGTTTCCAAAGTTTCTCCAAATAATCTACACCAACCTAAAATGGCAAACGATAATATCAATTTCAGGCTGATAATGTTTACTTCAAGATAGTATCGCTTCTAGTATTTGTCTTATTTTGTTTTGTTTTGTTTTTCTTTTTTTTTTTTAGTTTAAAAAATAAAAACAATTATTAAATTTCTTTTTTCACTTTTTTTTTTTATGACATTAACATTATTTTAAAAAATGTAATATTGTTTGCATTCCTTTGATTATTTCCTTATTTACTAATTGAAAATTTATTTTGTCACAAATGCGCATTACAAACAAAGTTGAAGCATTTTTCAAATCAGAGGAAATAAGTTCGTTTCATTTTTGCAAAAATGAAGAGAGAAATTGAAGCATTTTAAAAATTTCGCCATCTTCAATTCAAAGTTCGTTTGTCCCACTTTTCAGGAAAAAAAAAAAAAAAGGGAAGTTTTTTTTGAGCAAAACTACACCATAGTGAACATATATTTCTCATCATCAAAAAAAAAGTTGTTTCGTTTCAGCATTTTTCTTTTTTAAAAGCTAATCAATTTGTTGGTATATTGAAAAAAAAAAAAAAAAAAAAAAAAAAAAAAAAAGGAAACGAAAAAAGATAAGAGCTTAGAAAAGTTTAAAACCATCGCTGAAAGAACAGATAAAAAAAATTTTTGAAGTTAAATCCAGAATAAAGCCATTCCCACCATTTTCAAAACCTCTGTCCTCCTCAGTTATGTTTATCACTTATCCATGAAATAAAAGATTGAATTAAATTAAAATGAATTGAATATATGAATTTAATTGGAATAAGTCAACTAAACTTACTGTCAAAGATTCAATTTTCCCTTTTTGATAGCCATAATACATATCACCAAATGCTAAACGTGGATCTTGCCATGTTTGCCGTAAATAAAAATCAAGTGTAAAGTCCTAAAATTTCAAAAATTTTTCAAACAAAAGTTTTTTTTTTTTTTTTTTCTGAAAGAACCAATTATTCAATTTGAGCAAAATTTGCGTATTTATTTCTTGAAACAGAAGAGAGAAATAAAGAAAATTGTTGAATTTTAAACTTTTGCAATAATAAAATTGAATTTGTTGCAATAAATAACAATACAATGATTATAATTTTAAATGATTATTTTATTACGCATTTATTTTTGCATAATTTTTTTTTTTTAAAAAAAATTTTTTTAGATACTAATTTTTTTCTTTTTTTTCAGTCGACAATTCCTATTAAATTATTTCGGATGGCTTCCTGATATAAATTTTTTTTTTCAGAGATTTCAATATTTTTTTCATGCATATACTAATTTGTATGCCTTCCCTTTCACACTTATCAATTCACAACAATGCAATTTTCCTCTTCAAACGATTTAATGATGGCAGTTCGTTAATTAGTTCTTTGCTAATATTGGATAATTTCATCAAATGCTTCTCAAAATTTATTCACATTATAATCGATAGTAATAATGGCTATATGATATATTAAAATGATTATAAAAGTTAAAACAAAACAAAAAAAAAAAAAAATTTCGTGAAAAATTTCTAATAAATTATATATTTTTTTTCAAATAAAAATACTGCATAAAAAAATTACATTAGAAAAATTTATTATAAATTATTTTCTTAAACAAATGAAATATTCTATGAAAGTTGGAAAAATAAAGCTTTTTCAAAGAAATTCATTATAAATAATATTTTCAAACTCTTATAGAATGATAATGCATTTTATAAAATTTCAATGAATGTGCAACATATTACTTTAATATATAATTATTTGAGTTATTTCTTGTTTTTTGGTCGTTTTTAAGTAACAATGTTACCTTCAACTAATTCAAAAATTACTATTTTATTGTATTTCATATGTAATTTTGCGCTGTTTCTTTTATTTTTTTTTATTTTAATCAAATCTAATTTTATAAACTACTTTTTTCAATTTCATTCATTCATCTTTTCAAAGGAGATAGAAAAGATTACGGTAGCTTACTGTAATAGTACAATTCATTATTAGCTGGTTATACGGTATAAAAATAATTTCAGTTTTATCTACAACACATCATTCATTCATTTTGTAATGTATTTTCATTTATTTTATCTCAAAATTATTTGTCAAACGGCAAAAAAACAAAAAACATCAAATTGACAAGTTTATAGAAAGTACTTAAATTTATTTTTTAAAATGTCGTCAGCTAAATTTTTGTTTAAAAAAAGAGAAAAAAAAAGATAAAAGAGAAAAGAAGTAACAAAATATCATAAAATTAAAAAAAAGGATAAGTTTACCAAACAAAAAAAAAAAAAAATCAAGGAAGTATTCTGTGTTAGTAATGATTTAAGAAAAAAAAGGAAAAAAAAAAAGCTTAGGAAAACATTTCATATCAGTAATGATTACACAGTAATGTTTATTTAAGACTTTTATTGCTTATAATATTATATATTTGATTGATGATAAAAAAGAAATGATAGTGCTTTTTTTGTTTTTTATTTCTGCTATATTTTGATAAAATTTATGAATAATTTCACACACAAAAATTTCATTTTGATTTTAAATTATAATTCTATTTGCAATATTTTGCTAATGATATTTGACATTAAACATTAATTAATTTAATTCGTTTGCGTTTTATTACTATTTTTTAAAATTAAGCTTATATGATGAATTTGCGTTACTCAATAATTTGCAGTAGTAAAATTAGGGAAGCAATTTAGCATGGAAAGATAAACAAGTAGGAAAGAATAAATAAATAAATAAATAAATAAATGAGTTCTTTCGAAAAATAAGGAAAGAACTCATTGTTAATATTTGACAATAAGAGAAAATTCATCTTTTCTGATTATAAACAAAATTTCCTTTCATTTTTCCTTTTAAAATTAACATTTTAGAGTAATCTATCTTACAACAATTTCTTATCACTACATTTGATACAACTTTTAATTGTATAAATCAGCTAACATATTTAAATAAAAATGCGTCTTTTTTTGGACTAAAATTATTGATAAATTATATTGATTATATGAATATGTAAAATTACAATTGTTAAAAGTTAACAAAAATTATACTATATTATAAATATATCAGAAATGAAAAAAAAAAAAAGAAATTTTTTTTTGATGTATTAAAAGACCTTTCAAAAAAAAAAAAAAGGGTACTATCATTTACGAGAAATTATTTTACTAATTTCACATTTTTTTTTTTCATTTATATTTTATACTTGCTAAATTCTTGTATAATAATAATGAAGTAGAAAAGAAAAGAAAACAAATTTTGAAATTATTTAATTCAAAAAATTGAATTTTTGCATAAACAACTTTAAAATTTAATCCTTCTTTACTTGTTGATAAGTCATTATTTGCGCATCTAACAAAATCACTTTTTGTTAAAGCTATACAGTTCCCAGGAGACAATAAATTAATGATAATATTGCTTGGCCAGTATAGCTGTTGTTGTTAAGAGCCAAATTAAACTAACATCAATTGAATGCATCACTAGGCTACATAATGTATTATAATTATTATTATATATGGTGTAAAGTATTTCATTCACAATATCGATTCTGCAAATTATTAGCAAGTTTGTAGAATAAATTTGAACGAATAATAAAATATAGCAATTTAAAGTTTTAAAATAAAAGGCTAATAAGGCTTTTTTTTAAAAAAAAAAAAAAAAGAAAAGTTAAAATTTCAGCCTTAGGTAAATTATAAAATAATTCATATACTTTTAAAATATCATTTACACTTTTACAATATAATTTTTAAAAGCAGTTGGATTCAAAAAAAAAAAAATATGACATTTTCAAAAAGTGTGATATAACATTAAAATTTGATCGAGAATTTCATTTATTATAATCATTATAGAATAAGCAAAACTTTATCAAACTATCAATTATTTCAAGAAAGAAAAAAAAAAGTTAAAAATGAAAAAAGGGAAAATTCTTACGAAATGGAAATTTTTCGAAATGCAAAATTCAATAAATTAAGAAATTTATCTTTTTTTTTTTTGCCATTAATTCTAATTTTTATTAAAGCCTATTTCTAAATTTGAATTATTTTATTAGCACATTCGTTTTATCTATTTGCTGCTGCACATTATATAATAATAGGAAAAAATTTTTATCAAAAATAAAGCAAACAAAATTTAATAATTATCTAATATATAATTCATATATGTATGTTAAAGTTATTTTTCTTACTTAATATAATTATTTATACAAAAATAATAATAAAAAAAATAAAATGATTAAAAGTAGCAAAAAAAAAAAAAGATAAATAATTAATTAGAAAATATAAATACGATAAAAATAAAATAAGGAAAAAGATGAATTGTAATAAAAGAAAAATATTTTTGATTTAAAAAATTCTTTTCTTTTTGCAAAGAAATTCAAAATTGACATACCATATCAACCTCAGATACAGCACTGATACTTGATACGTGTATAGTTATACCTACGTCAACTGGTTCAGCGCCATATTTAGGCCTTAATCTTTTATCATAAGTTGATTTATCAACAAGTCGATTTAAAATATCAGAAATTGCTGTTGTATTGAAAGTTGTACCACTCGGATAACCTCTGTAAATATAAATTTACTTCATTTCTATATCATTTAAATAATTATTAAATTCTTTGATAAATCTAAATTTTTTTCTTCTTTCTTTCATGAAATTTAGCATTATTTTATATTAAAAAAAAAATATATATACAAAAAAAATTTTTTAAAATAAAAAGATACATTAAAAAAAAAAAAAAAAAAAAAAAAAGAATTTTAGTTCTTTAATTTATTATCAGACAATTAATAATTTTTATGTGATTGTAAATAATTTTCAAAAAAAAAATTTTTTAAAGTTTTTAAATTTGCAATTTCAATTTTAGTGATTTAAAATTAATTTTTAACATCAAATTCTTTGTTATAGAGGGGAAAAATATAAAAAAAAAAAAAACAATTTTTTTTTGAAATGAATGAAAGTTTAAATTTTGGTAATAATTCTGTTTTAATCGAATTAAAACTAAAAAGGTAAATTAAAAAGAATATAATAGTTTAAGAATTATTAATTCTTTTAAATGCACTTCAAAAATTTAATTTTATAACATCATTCATTTATAATAAAGAAAATTTTTTTTTTAGCTAACCAAACTATCCACTTCAATATGCTTTATTTTTAATTTTCATTTTTAGAAATCCAATAAATATGGCAGAGAAAAAAAGAACAATTAATAAAAAAAAAAACTTAAAATTATTAAAATTAGTTGTATAATTCAAACAAAATAGAACGCAAAATTTTCATAAATTTTAAAATAATCAAACATATGCAAATTAATTTTTACAGTAATAAAATAAATAAATGTTATTTCAATGTTTTTTGCCTAAAAATGCCTTTAAAAAAAAAAAAAAATGAAAAATTATGCATAACTAATAATAACAATTTAACTTTTTTATTAAAACAATTAATTATTAAAATTTTTTTCTGGTGAAAAAATTTTAAATAAAAAAATCTTTCCCAATAAAAAAAAATTCATTTATTTTTTCTCTTCTTTGAGCAATCCTATAATTTTTGTATTTTACAAAAATTAATTTAAAAATAATTATTTATCAAAAGATTGATAAAAAATAAAATATTTGAAAATTAAAATAAATTATAAGTGCAAATGAGAACAATGCAATGCATTGGGAATTGAAAATGCATTGCGTGCATGTTGGAAAAGTTTTGAGAATAAATGAAATGTTTCAGTTTTTGCTTAAAATCTAAAAATTTCAATAATAAAAAAAAAAGAGAGAAAAGAAAAAATATGATTGAAATTTTTTTAGAAATAAAATCTGACTTTAAATTATTTCCTAAAACTTTTTTTTTTTTTCATTTTAAATAAAATTCCATTCATTTATCAGTAAAAAAAAAAAAAAAAAAAAAAAAACAAAAAAAAAAGAAAGAAAGATAAAAGTTTGGTGAGCGAAAAAAATTTTTAATTTAGTTTTTGGATTGAAATTTCAAAAATAAATTTTATAGTAGAAGTATCAAACATTTGTAAAATATTTTTCATTTATAAAGTATTTCATTTTTTTATTTTAGAGATTATTTTCTTTTTCAATTAAAATTTAATAATAATAAAATTTTCCATTGTATTACAAAATTTCATATTTTTCTACTTTTTCTTTTTTCTCAGTAACAAACAAAAAGTGTAACTTTATTTGTTTATTCTTAGATTATATATTTGTGAAAAAATTAAAATTTTTAACAAATAACAAATTTTTTTTTTTTGAAAAGAAAATTATCAATTTTATTTTTTTAAAAAAGAAGAAAAAAAAAAAGAGAAAATACTGCAAATCATTTCACTTTTTTTTATAGTTTTAATAAATCAAATAGCGATAATTGAAATATTTTGTTGAAATGCTTGAAATTATTTATTTATTTATTATTTTTGTAAATTTTATTATTCCTCACTTATCTTAAAGCATTTGTTATAGACAGTGATAAAATTGCAGAACTTTCAACAAGCAGTTGTTCAAAAGAGAAAAAAGTGGAAAAGTATACCCTTTTTTTTTTATTTACAATTTATCAAGAAGAAAACTATTTTCGTAAACCAGAAAAAAAAAAAAGAAAAACGGATGAATTTTGATGAAACTTTTTAAAATGCTATTTCAAAAACAAACGTTCAAATTAAAATTAAAATTTGTTCTAATATATTGAGTTAATTAAAATTAAAATTCAATTAAAATTTGAAAAGTTCTAATATATTAAGATTTTTTTTGTTATATATTATATTTAGTACAGTCGTTTTATGTTTTTTTTCTTAAGTTTACATAATTTATATTATTTTTCCATATATATATATTTTATCATTTTTACAAAAAAAAAAAGAAAAAACAGAATTAATAAAATTTTTAAAAATAATTAAACAATGTTAATTAATCAAATATTAATTGAAATTTATATGAATTAGTAGATTTATTGCTATGATAAATATACCTCAATGATAACTGCAATTCATTAAATAGCAGCAAATTTAAGTTACTATTTACTATTTTTTGTTTTTTTTTTTTTCTTTTCTATCAAAATTTTTATGTAAAAAAAAATAAAAAAATAAAAAAGGAATAGAAATGAAAATAAAATTGGAAATGAGAAAAGATTAGGATTAGAAAAATAAATATTTATTTGATGGATTATCAATTTAAATAACAAAACGTTATGTTAGCTACGGTTGTCATAATCACAATTGTTTATATTTTGTTAAATGTAGCATTTCAAATGTCATTCTGTCATGCAACCATCAAATCAAGCATTGTTTGATTTGACATTTTGATTTGACACGAAGGGCATTTGTTATCGGAATACTTGTATACTTGAATTAAATTTGTTTCTCTCTCTCATTAAAGTATAAAAAAAACAAAAAACAATAAGGGAAGTGAAAGAAAAAGGAAAAAGAGGAAATAATTGAGAATGAAAATGTTTATATATAAAAATTTTAAAAATAATATTTTAAAAAATTTAAAATAATAAAAAATAAAATAATATTTCAAAAATTTAATTTAAAATTTTGAAATAGTAAAATATGCTAATAATAACAAAATGAATTAAAGTTTCTTTTCTTTTTTTTTTTTCGTTAATCTTTTTTCACTGATTTTAAAAGTTTAATTAATGGATGCATGATATGCTTTTAGCATATTTAATGCAAACACGCAATTAAATGACATAATTGAAATTTTATAAAAATGTAAACAAATAATAAGAATTTATTAAAAGTTTTCTTTCTCAAATTACAGTATCATTTAGATTTTTAATTTTATACGAAACATTAAAAAATTTTTTTCTTTCTGTTTGAAGAAATTGAAAGAAAAATGCATAAATGATTCGAATTATCATAGCTTTTTGCTTACCAAAAATAATATGAAAAAATTTTAATTTCAATAGTAATTTCAAGAATTTAAATCATATTATATATTTTATTCTTACAGAGAAACAAAATTATTTATAAATTAAAAAATTTGCTCTCTGTTTATTTCAGTAATAAACCAAAAAAATTTGCTTATAAACTTATATTAATCAAAAATTTTTCAATATAACTTTCAATAACTTTTAATTTAAAGAAAGATTTAAAGAGGAAAAAAAAAAGAAAAAAAGATTGATCAAAATTTTTATAAAAATTTGCTAATCTATAATTATTACAAATGAAAGATGCAAATATTATTAAAATACTACATATCAGATCAAATAAAATTTATTCCAAATATGATTAATTAATTAATTACACAATAGGTATAGATGAATTTATTTTAAATTTAAATTTACCAATTAACATTTTACATATATTTCAACTAAAACTCATCATATCATTTTCTTTGTTTTAAAAAAAAAAAAACACAAAAAGCAGAAATTAAAATATTAAAAAATATAAATTAAAAAAATCATTTTAAAACTTACATATAACCAAGTGTAGTGTTGTTGTAAATAATATAGTAAACGATGAAAATATATGAGATATGGTACATGGCGTTGAAGCCAGAAGCGTCATTGATTATTTGCAGTACTGTTTGTTTATTTTCTTTTTTTTTTTTTCTTTTCTTTTTTATTTTTAGAATATTCTATAAAAAATATAATCAGCTAATAGTTATTTGTAGCAGTTAATAAATTATTATACTAAACATCAGCTAATCATCAATAATTATTTATATATACTTACTATCAATCATTAAGCATAATATTTGTATATAATATTTAACTTTTAAAATTAAAAAAAAAAAAATAACATTTGATAAAATTAAAATAATTTTTTTTTTCATTTTTGTTTAATATAAAATAATAAAAATTATAAATAAATAAATGACAATTGTGTTAGTATTAAAAGTGAATTTTGAATGAAAGAAAATTGAGAAAAAAAAAGAAAAAAAAAAAAAAAAATGAAAGAGGATGGAACTTTTCCGCTAAAGCTTCTTCATTTTCCGCCCTCCCATTTTTATCCTATTTTCTACTTTTTCTCCTCCTCCTCCTCCTCCTTCTGCTCCTCCTCCTCCTCCTCCAATTCCTCCACCAATTCATCCACTAATTCCTCCTCTAATTCCTCCACCAGTCCCTCCTCTAAATTTTAAAGTAAGAAAAATAAGAAAAAGGCTTTATCTCAATATATATATGTAAAACGTAAGTACGTAAAATTCTTTTTAGGCGCTTAAAATCATCCAAGCAAACACACAGACACATTCAAGCATTCATCTCACAAAATATATACTTTCACAAACTTTTTTTTAAAAAAAAAAAAAAAAAACGATTCAAACAACATCAGATAGCATTAGTGGAAAAAAAAAGTAAAAAGTACTTAGCAGGCGGAGCGGAAAAAAATTTTTTTTTTTTCTTGAACAATCATGATTTAGTTAAAGAGTTAAAAGAGGGAGAGAGAGAGAGAGAGAGAGAGAGAGAGGGAAAAAAGAGAAAAGGAAAAAGAAAGTACAATAAGTAAGTTTTAAGTAAAAGTAAGTAATAAGAATGAAACATTTCTGATTTTAATTTAAATAATAAATAATATAATATAGTAATTATAGTAGTAGTAGTAATAGTAATAGTAGTATTAGTAATAGAAATAGTAATTATTATTGATTGTAGGAAATTATTGATAAGAAATGAATCGTTTGTAAATATATTTTTTTTTTTTTTCATTTTCGTTTTAAAATATTTTTCTATCAAATTCAAATTCAAACTTTTTCAAAGCTATCATTATTTTGATATTTAATTTATTCTATTCTTTTTCCAATCAATTATTATCAACAATATTTAATTTTCTAAAAAAGAAAAAGTTTTTAAAAAAATTAAAATTAAAACTAATTTATCAACTGTAAATTTTTAAGACAAAACTATGCCGCTCTTCTTTTTTTTTTTTCTCCTCCTCTCACCTACTTCATCTGAAATAACAATTGTTGACAAATATGTGATGCATGTTGATTGAAATTTGAAATAAAATTTATTGATTCTGGATAAGATGTACTAAGATATTCCGGAAATGATGAAATAATGAAGTGGTATTTATTGATTCTGGATAAGATGTACTAAGATATTCCGGAAATGATGATATACTGAAGTGGGATTTATTGATTTTGGATAAGATGTACTAAAATATTCCGGAAATGATGCTATAATGAAGTGGGATTTATTGATTCTGGATAAGATGTACTAAAATATTCCGGAAATGATGATATATTGAAGTGGTATTTATTGATTCTTGATAAGATGTATTAAAATATTCTGGAAATGATGATATACTGAAGTGGTATTTATTGATTCTGGATAAGATGTACTGAGAAATTCCGGAAATGATGATAAATTGAAGTTTTAAAAAGATATGACAATAAAACTTTTTTCTTTTCGGAAAGATCGAATAATTCTGACACAAAATAAGTTACAACTTTTTTTTTTCTTTCTTGAACAAAATAAAAGTTTTTGCAATTCAATTTTTTCAATATTTAATTGCTAAAATAATTGGACTGTTAATTTTCTTCAATTTTTTCTTTTTTTTCTTTTTTGATACAAATTGCAATAAAAATTTTTGTCCAATTTTTATATACAAAAAAAAAAAAAAAAAAAGCTAAAGTTGATATAAAAATTAGTTTCAATTTATGAGTTAAATTTTTCTGCAAATAAAATTATTCATTTTAACATTAATTCCATCATTCTGATTGACTAATATGATTAAGTTTTGCCTTTTTTTTTTTAAATCGTATACGTACGTCACATTAAAACGTACGTATAAAAATTATTAAAAAAAATTGCTTCCTTATAGTTTTTTTTTTTTTTTTCATGTTTATATTATTCATTTTTTCTTTCATTTAAAAAAATAAAACATAAATTTATAGAAATATAACAAATAAAATAAAGTTAAGTTAAAAGTTTGCCAGAAATTTAAGTTCACTATTTCAAATTAATTAATTTATTTTCAATTTTTAATTTTCAAATTAATCAAATGCAATATCGTGTAATACATTTTAAATTAAAATAATTGTAAATAAAATAAAATAATTTGAAATAATTAATCTGATAAAAGCTTAGGCATTAAACAGAATAAAAAAAATCATTTTGAATTGATTAACAATTCATATTAAATGTGATAACAATTTTTCTGATATGATTTATGCACAATTTTTTCTTAATCGTTTTTTTTTTTTTTTTTAGATAAAAGTAAATTTAAACATGATAAATTAACTATAAGTTGAGAAGTGAGAGAGGAAAAAATTTATTTTATTGGAAATTTGAAAGAAAATAGATTTTATCAAATTTAACTAAATTTTTTTTTTGAAAAATTTTGTAAAATATTTTTTAACAAATTTTACAATTTTCTTTATTTATAAAAAATAATTCTATGGCTGTTGCAATATTAATTAAACGTATAAGCAACCTTTTTTTCACGTTTTATCATTCACTTAATTAGATGTGCAGGTGGTTGGTCGTTTTTCACGCTTTTTCATTCCTCGATTTAAATGCTTAAATAAATTTTATCATTTTTTTTTTTAAATTAAATACTTAAATGATTTCTATTCATCCTTTATTGTTGGCTATTTTTTCTTTTTTTTTTTTTAAATATTGAGAAATTTTTTAAAAAAATGAAAAAAAAATTTTTTTAATGATAATTGTAATTATAATATAATATAAAATTTTCCATAAAAAAATTTATGACAATTATTAAAAAAAAAAAATGCATTAACATTTGAATATAATAATTAATCCTATAAACTATCATATTGATAGTTTTAATTTTTTTCTCTCTCTCCCTCTCTCCCTCTATCTCTGCTTTAATTAACGATTAACACAATTGCGCTTATTATTATCTCTTATTTTACTAATTAACTAATTTGCAAATAATTAGAAAAGTAAGAAAACAATTTCTCTCCGAATATTACTAAGTATTTAGCAAATATTTGATAACGAAAGTGAAGAATTGATGCATTTATTGATTATTCAATTTAAATATCAATGCGAATACTTTGAAAGTTTTAAAAGCAATCTTCAAAAATGTTTATTCAACTTTAACAATATTTAAATCAACCATTGTTGCAAAACATAAACTAATTGTTTAAAATTTGTTCAAATGAAAAATGAAATTTGCCTTAACCGATGGCAAATTAGGGACATCAATTTCAGTATAATGCATTTTGAATGTTAGATAAATTTATCATAAATATCATTATTTTGTTTACTAAAATACTTAGCCAAGAAAATTAGCAAATGAAATTTTCTTTAAATCAAAAAATACATCAATAATTTTTTTGATCAAATTTTTCTTTTTTTTTTTTTGATTTTAAATAATTTTTGTTTTTTCATTAAACTTATTATGTATATATTATAATTTGTCCCTAATTACCTTCGTTATGATAATATATACTAATTATCTTATAGACAATGATCTATGAGTCTGTCAATGCTTACAATGCTAATTTATTTTATTAACAATAAATAATTCTATTATTGATTTACTTATCATTGAAGTTGATAATTAGAATAATTAAAAAGTTTATTTGTTAATTAAACAAGTGATATTATCATTATCATCATTATTATCACTTGGTATGCTTGCTGTGCGTGTCCTCTTGCAACTTCTCAAAATTAGCATTTCTTTTGATGGCATTTGATCTTTAAGTGGACGTGATTTCGTTTCCGGAAGAAGTGTCAGGAATGCTATGGCATCAATGGATAGTAATATGATAAGAACTACATATGGTAAAATTTGATCAATTTCACTCTGAAAAATTTTTCAAATCATTATTAAAGAATGGAAAAATACCGGATAAGAAATGATAATGGAATAATATTTGATAAGAAGTGATAACAAAAAGTGTGATGCATACATATGGTTTAGTTATCATAATTTAATATGATTGTTTCAATTTCATTTATAATACTTATTATAATCAACATTATCAGTCATTTTATATGTGAAATCAAAATTTGATAAAAGTTAATGTTAAATTGTCATTATCACTTCTTATCAAAATGTTTTTTTTTTTTTTTTTTGATGCAATTTTTTATTCATAATCTAATTTCTGTTTTAATATCAAATTCTGAAATTACAATACATTTATTTATTTAAATTAAATTTAAGCAATATTGTAAAAATTATTAGGTTAATAAAACTTAGAAAATTATGTTGTGCAGAAAAAAAAAAAAGTTAGCCTTAAATGAATGAATTATCAATGATAAAAATGAAAAACACATACTAAATAAATAAGTTGTGGTGCAATAATGCAACCGATTCGATTCCATGTTGCGACATTAGCGCCAGCTAAATTACGAATAGCTGTAGGGAAAAGTTCAGCACATGAAAGTGTATTAACAATGAATAAGGTTGAAATTATACCCATACCAGTTAAAGTTAATAGTCGAATAAGTACTTTGAAATCCAAAGTATGGTCTAAAAAAATGAAAAAATTAAATCAATTTTGAAAAACATTTAAAAATTAACATATTTTTTTAAATGTTTTGAAAAAAAAAGATTTAAAGAAATAAAAACAAAAAAAAAAAAAAAGAAGTGAAGATGAAGTAATAATTGTTAATAAAATAAATATTAATGCTTCCTTTCTTATCAATTTAAATTTATTCGTTACATATTAAAATATATTTAAAGAATTTCTGCCTTTTGACCTCCCCTCCCTCCTAGATTATTTCAAATTAAATTAAATCTTTTTAAAAAATAAATTTTATTATATGATTTACGACATTTTCTCAAAAAAAAAAAAAAAAAAAAATCATTTTATTGCATTGTTAGTGTTAATCAAAGTGCTGTTTTATTGAAAGAAATAAAAATAAATAAATTTAAAATTATTTAACATTTTTTGTTTTCATTTTTTTTTTTTTGAAAAATAGCTTATATAAATAATCTTAATTAAACTAATATTTGCATATGAATATTTAAATTTAACTTACATTGTAAAAATTTTTGAAAAAAAAAAAAGAAAGTTTTTATTCCGGAAAATTTTAATTAATTAAAAAGGAAGAAACGAAAAACAAATAATTCCTTTAATCTTTTAATTAATTTTTTTCCTACTTAAGAAAAAAAATATTTTTAATTAATAAAAAAAAAAAAAAAAAAAAAATATGACAAACCAGTTTTAATTAATACAACAATAAATGCAATACAAAGAATATAAATGATAATTGATATTGTATGTACAAACTTTCTGCCAACAGATGTAAAGGCATGATCAACAGTTGCTAGTAAAATATTTAAAATATAACGAAATGCTCCAAGTATTGATGTATTCATAAACAATGAACCGGAAATCTTCTCCAAATTAAACAATAAACCATAAAATGCAATAGCATTAGCAAAGCTAAAATAAAATAAACAAACAAACCTTTTTTTTTTTTTTTTTTTAGAAAAAATTAAATTACTATAAAAAATTATAAATGATTAAAAATAAAATGTAAAGTTAAAAATTGATAATTGTTCATAATTTTCACTTAAATATATTTGTTCTTTTTTTTTTTTTGAATGAAAATAAAAGTGTAAAAAACTTTTTTATATGTTTAAAAAAGATTATTTGATATTATTAAAAAGTATTTTTATTGTTTTAATAAAATACTTTTTTCTTTTACCAGCTAAATGCAAGAACAATGCTGTAACGAAGTAATTTCCATGAATAAAATAAATGATAAAAATAATATCGTTTATGTTTTAATTGTTCATAATTAGCCTGAAAAAAAAAAAAAAAAACAATAATAAATCAAAAATTTTGTTTTTTTTTTTCTTATTCAAACTTACTTAATTATCATTTATTAATATGTAATAAAAATATGAAATATTTTCTGTTTTTTTTTTTTTTTAAAAAAAACTAGAAACATTTTAAAATGTTTAATTAAAAAATTTAAAAAAAATTAAAATTAAAATAGTGAATTTATTGGAGAAAGTAAAAACCAAATAAAAGCTTTACTTCTTAGCATTGATCAATTAAAAAAAAAAAAAAACAATAAATATCAATAATTTGATAAATATTTACTTTTTCAACTTAAATTACAACTATTTTACAATTTACTTTTAAAACATTAAATTAAAATTTTTTTAATTTATGAATTTATAAAATACCATATGATCATTTCCAAGTATATCAATTACTTCTTGCTCATGGCGGTATTGTCTTTTTGCCGCATTTTTTCCCCATGTATTCATTGCTATTATTGTTTGTTGTGCTTCATTCAAACGACCTTTTTGCATTAACCATCGTGGGCTTTCATATAGAAAACTAAATAAAATATAAATTTTTAATAAAAATTTTTTAAAAATAAAAAAGTTTCATTTTTTTTTTTTTTGTAAAAAATAAAAATTAAATTTAACATTTAAAAATTTACATGAAGCAAAAAAGTGATGGTGCAGCTAATAAATTAATTGTAATTGCAAGTGTATCCCATGAACGTGTAAAATAAGCAACCAAAGAAAGTAATAAAAAATTTGGTGACCAAGTAACAAATGTATTCACTTTAATTCGGGCATTTGTTGGAATATTCTCGATTACGTACACGTACATTACGCTATAATTACACGTTTATTACTTTACAATTACTCTTCGTACATTGCTCTACAAAAAATTTTAAATAAATTAAAATGTTAACTTACCTTATCACTTGAATAAAAGAAACATCAATTATTATCATTTAAAAATGAATAAAAATAAAAATAAACGAAAATATCTATGAAAATATTTGTGTTATACGTAAATTTGATATATTACTAAAAATATGTTTAATAATACCTAAAATTATTTAGCTTTTCTTTTCTTTTTTTTTTTTTTTTTTTTACTATCCAATTAATATTCAAATTTAATTACAACCTTTGCTTACATATTATTCATCGTAAATTCATCATTTAAATAATTGATTTTTTAAATTATTATGTAACAAATATAAATAAATATTTTTGGTTATGCAAATTTATTCAAGTTAAAAAAGAAAACAAAACATTTTCAATAGACATTTCATGCTTTCATGTTTATTAAAAAAAATAAAAATAAAAAAATATTAAAAGCATTTTAATATTAATTTGAAAAAATTATCCTTAATAAATTAAAAATTAAATAGTAATAAAATTAAAACAAAATAATAATAAAAAGAAAAAATAAATAATAATTGCAATTTTAGAATGATACTAAAAAAGTAACATTGAATTGCCGCCAACAAAGAAACCAACAAAAGTGCGACTAATAGCAAATACCAAAAGATTGGCAGCAAAAGATGACAGTATGCCAGATAGAGCTGTCATTGCAATGCATACGATCATTGTCTGAAATGAAATGGTTCAAAATTAATTATTAAATTTAAATTAATCAACAAATTAATTTGATTAGTGTAATTTATAAAAAAAATTTATTTTATACTTTTAAGCTCTAATAAATTAATGTCACATTTTGTTTGTTTATTTATTTGTTTGTTTGATTTGTTTATTTGTTTGTTTGTTTGCTTGTTTTTTTGGTAGTGAGAAATTGATTGCAAAAAAAAAAAAAAGAAAAAAATGATAAGAAAAATATTAAAATTAAAGAAGGAGAAAAAGAAAAAAAAATGAAAAGAAAACTATTAAAGTTAAAAAAAAAGAGAAATGTTAATAATTATTATTAATTTAATTTAAGCAAATATTTTAGGATAGAATTATTAAAATTTCTTTCATTGTGAATTTATTAACGAATTTAAAAACTTAATAATTTTATGATAAGTTTATTTGTTTTCTTTCTTTTTTTTCTGGTTATAAGTTGATTATTAATTTTGTATAAATTTATTATTTAAAGGTTTCTTTTCCTTTTCTTTTTTTTTTTTTTTTTTTAAAAAAAAGAACCTTTCGGCGTCCAAATAAATCGGATAATTGCCCAAATAAAATACCACCAAGTATAGTACCAAACATTTGAAACGATACCACATTTTTTACTTTTACTGTTTCACTACAGAAATAGTTCCACTGTAAGAAATTTAAAAATTTTTCATTTCTAAATTTTTCAAAAAGTTAAACTAAAAATTATGAATTATTTCAAAGTTTTAGATTTTTCCACATAACTTTTTCTCATTTTTTTTTTTCAAATTCAATTAGAATTTTAAACTAAATTTTATTATTAAGAATCATTTTTAAAAAGTAAAGAACAGTTTTTTTTTTTTTTCATTTTCAAATATTCGTAATTATTATTATTATATTTTTTTTTTTAATTTAAATGAAACTTTTAGTTAATTAGACTAAAATATAACTAAAATAAAGTATACTTCAACAGCAACGGATCGAAATTGATACTTAAGAATTGGTTCACATGAATGATTTTCAAATTTAATTATACTTTCATACTGCTCGCAAGCTTCACGCTGTCCCAAAGTTTCATTAAAAATTATCGTTCCACAAGCGATAATATCAGGTGATGCTGCTATAATTTGTATATATATTTAAGTGTTACTTAAATTTTTTAATTTTATATTTTAAAATCATTTCATTAAAATTTTTGCATTATATAAATTATTTAAGTATTTCATTAAATCTTCCTATTTGCAACATTTCCCAAAGACAATACTTTTACTTCCTTCTTTTTTTTTTTTTTAATTTTCTTTTTTCCTTTCGTTTCTTTCTTTCTCTTTTTTCTGAAATTTATAGTTAACTGAAAAGTTAAAGGAAAAAAAAAATTTAGACACTAAATTATTTAAATAGAATCTACTGAACTTTCAATATTTTCTTCCTTCTTTTCATTCGTTCCTAACTTTAAATTCTTCCTATTTTTTAATTTTCAACTAAGTATAAATTTTATATTTCAAATAAAAAAGAAGAAAATAGAAAAAGAGAGAAAAGCATTGTAATTATTTAAACAAAATCTAACTAAACTTTTTCATTTCTATCAAAATTTCTCTCAAATTTGTTAATTATTTATTGCATTATTTCATTCAAAATTTTTTAATAATTTAATGCATCTCTTCGCTTTTTTTTTTTTTTTTTTTGAAAAAAGTTTGAAAATTAATGGCAATGCAATAAAAATGATAAGAAAAGGGATTAACTAACCAGCAAATATCATATAAATAACATTGCCAACTTGTGACAATATGACAAGTTCATAAGTTAAACATAAAAACATTGTATAACGATTAAAAACAATGAAACGATCAATTCCTGCTGATAACTTTTCTTCATTATCAATCAATGACGTTGGCATTCTAAATTTTAACAATCTGTAAAATACAAATATTTGCAATGTTGTAACATTAAATTCTTTTTATCACATAATCTTTTTATCATAATCCTTATCATATGTTTCTTTTTATCACATAATCCTTATCATATGAATAAATACTCAAAGATTATCTTATAATATTGAAATTTAAAAATTTTAAGCTTTTATTATCAACCAAATGATCAAAATAAGACTAAAAGTGTCTTCTTTAAAGATTCAAGTAAGTTAAAATAAAAAAAAAAAAATAAACTAATTTCATATATATTAGTTAAAACGAGAAAAAAAATTTTGAAACAGTTAATGAGCTAATTAGCATAATAATTGATATAAGCTAAAAAAGCGTACGTACGTTATATGACGTATAATTATTTTATCATCAATTATGTGTGACATATGCGGCATACAATTCTTTTTTTTTACCATTAACAAATATAATTTAAACTGATTAGATAACACTGATAATATATGCAATTTATCCATTACAATAGCTCAATTAATACAACAATAAGCTAATTAATTAAAATTTTATAAGCATTGTTAACACATGATATCATTTTAAAATTTTATTATAGTGAATTATACAAATAAAATAAGCTGTAAAATAAATGCATCATATCACTTTAAATGAGTGATTAATTCTTTATTTACATAACATTTTAAAAAATTTAATGTTATTAGCTTACAACAATAGCTTATCACCCCTTTTTCTTTTTCTGATAGAAGCACAATTGTGAATTAAATGTACGTTTCGTTGAAAAATTATTTATTTATGCAACATCTTCCCACACAATTTATCATTATTAAAAGTTAATTTTTACTCTTTCAATTTTAATTTCATCTAATTTTTACTAATTTTCATTAAATTTTTATTTAAATTCTCACTCAAAGATATTAATTTACCCAAACAAACAAAAATCAAGAAAAAAGAAGCAATTAAATAAAAAAAAAAACAAACGAAAAAATTGCTGAGATTTTATTTATGAAGAACAATAAAAAATAAATTTAAATAATCATTTAATTCTAATAAAAACCAAATAAGAAATTATTCTAATCATGCAGAAAATATAAATTATTAAATTTAATTTAAATTAAAAATAATTTGACAAAGAAGAAAAAAAAAAGTGAAATAAAATAAAATAATGAAATGAAATGAAAGAATGAAGAATAAAATATGAGCGTAAAAAGAAATTACTCAGTGAAATGATGGTTGGACTATTTAAAGCATACAAAAACTAATCAGTCATTTTGTAATAGAATAGAATCAATGTTAAGAAGCAGGTTTTGACTGTCTCTGTTGGAGCACTGTAATCAATGCCTAATCAATTTATCAATTTATCAATTATCATAAGATAACGCTTATTTTATGTGAATTAGAGAAAATGAAAAAAAAAATTTTTTTTGTAAGTAAATAAGAGGGAAGAAAAAAGAAAACAAATTTTATTTTCTCTTTTACTTTGCTACTATAGTGCTCTTTTCAACCTTTAACCCCGATGCACTGATGTAAACAAAATTTTATATCATATTTGATGATTAATTTTATTAAAATAAAATAATTCAATGTTAAATTGTCATTTTTTTATGCGAATGACTACGATATTATAAAATAATAGCATTTCGGCTTATTTTGTTATAATATTGAGAGGAGAGAAAGTTTTAAATGTAGCATTTGTTAGGAAACTTTGAGAAAGATAGTAGGCCAATTCTATCATAACTTTTTCAACAACTCTATTTCAACTTTTAAAATAATTTTGAATTTTAATTTAGTCTAGGATAATCTTATTTGTATGCTTAATTAAGCGATATATTTTTCTACATTCATAAACAATACTTTTGAGCAAATTTTCCTTTATTTATTTATCTTCAAATTATTACTGAATTCTGTCATCGAACATCATCATTTCGGCCGGCTACCGCGCAACATTCTAGCAATTATATATTGCAATTTTATGAATTTCGGTATTTCTCGGGATTCAAAGATACTAGAAATTTTACAAAGTTTCAGTTTTCAAGGGATTCAAATATAATATAATAATAAAGCAAACATTATCGGTAATTTAGCTGCATTAGATGTTTTAAATCTTAAAACACTCTTCCATTCACTGTATTTTGTTATAAGTAAACTCTAAAGCAGTGGATGATGCAATCTGTCAAGCAGATATGCGGCGGTGCTAGGTGATTGAAGAGGTGGTATGGATGATCCTTCACTTTTTTTTTAAATTTTTTAAAAATTTTGATTTCATAGCATTTTTCGAAGTGTTAATTTTCTCTTCTGTAACCATTTGTTTAGAATATGTTTAGTAGTGTGTATGATAATCTTTCATTTTTCCTCTAATCAATTTTTCTTTAGCTTTCTTAGTTTCTCATCTTTCCATATTCTCATTCTTCACTGGTTATATAAATGTATGAAGTATTCATTAGCGATAGATAGCTATGGCTCTTTTACATATTCATCAGCGATAATTATATATCTTCAAATTAATTTAGCAAATTGGTTATTCGTTGTCGTTATTTATCTTTCTTCTTCATTCTGTCAAAAAATCATATCTAAATTTATGTTATTCCAGGATTGAAACAGAAATGATTACTGATGAAAGTTTAAGGAAAGATGATGAAGAATCGGTTAGTTCTGATGTGAATGTAGAAGATGAGGAACACATGTAAGTTTCTTTTTTTTTTTTTTTTTTTTTTCTACAGAATAATTTACAGTTGCTATATGTTATCCCATCTTATTCATTTCTCATCCTAATGTCGAAAATCTTTCCTTAATATTAGCAATTCTTGTCATTCCTACCAGTAGTATTCAAGTATTTTCTGTTTTGAAATGGCTTCATTTCCGATAATAAAGTAGAAATATTTAGCTTTGGCATTAAATAATAAGTGTGATATGTTGAGAAAGCGAAATATTTTTAGTAATCCTCGAAATAATTATTCGGAATCATTTCTGGAAGATGGACATGGAATCGTTTTTGGATCACAAGAACAAAAGTAAATCAGTTGATTATTTCATTGTAAGTAAGAATTGCTTCTAACATCACAATCTGACTTCATGTGTTTAATATTGTTTTAGACTTATATATGATGGTTTACTATTGAAATATCTAAATGGTGAAATTAAATCTCTAAGTGAAGTTTGTCGACTTGTAAAGGATCAATTAGGACTTGAAATTTCGGCTCCTACGCTATCACGACGTTTGAGACATATTGTAAGTTGTCATCATTTCATCGCTTTTAAATGTTACAGCTTTTGTTTTCGTTTTTTTTTACTTCCAGTTGAACATTATTTTACTTGCTGTGTTTTGAATTTCTCCATCAAAATATTTCATACGAATGTGTTTTGCACAGTTTTATTTTTGTTTCTGTTGCAGAATAGAAATGCAGAATCAAGTGATGAACAGGAAAGGAAGTAAGCTTTTTTTTAAAAAACTGCTTTCGGATTATACACAAAAAAGTAAATAAGCTTACTCATTTGATAGAAATAATCTTATTAAGGAGGAAGATGGGTGTATTGAAAGGTTTCACGATAATGCAGCGTGCCTTGTCGAGTCGTTACAATGCTTCTTTGCTGACAGTGATGGATGATAAAACAAAGGAAATTCGGCAGTATGCATACATGAAAAGTTCCGTGGATGGGCGTAAAGAATATTATCGATGCAACAGATGTTTGCGAGCTAAACGGAAAAGTGGACCTGGTGCTCAAGCATCTATAATAGTTTACGATGGTGAAATAATTGGTGATAAACCGCCGGAGCATCACGTTGATTGTGAACCAGTGCCATATGAAGAAATTGCTTCAATAACCAGCCAGCGCGAAAGTCGCGCATACGAAAGGGAGGAAAACGAACAAGTGCGCCAAGTGTTGCGTAACAGGCAGCTACTCTTAAAGCAGGTACTTTAAAAAAATTTTTCCTGCTTTATAAATGCTTATCATTAGATGTTTATGCAGTTTACTATATATATGTGTTCTGTTTAACTTTCGGAATTTTCTCATAGACATTGTCTTTTTTTTTTTCATAAATATTATGATATTGGTTTAGTGCTCTATCGATCTTTAATTTATGATATAGCCTGTACGCTTTATATTCAGACGGAACCATTAGAACCGCCTGAACTTTCGCCGATGGTAGAGGGTGATGAATTGGCAGAATTTGATGAAGAATCAACTGGTGCGGGATTTGCTGACTCTCAAAGGCAAACAGTCGATCAAAACGTAATGATTTGAAATTGTTCCGTAAACTCAGAGCTTTTCATAAGAGACTGTAAACCTTTTTTTTTTTTTCATTTTATCAAATTTTCTCCATACGGTAAGTTTTCGAAGGAAAGTTGTCTTTATTTTTTTAGAAAAAACGAATGGAACGAATTTTGTCGGCTGTTTTACTTCTTCTCGATGAACTTGATGGAGAAAATTTGCTAACTGTTATTGAAGAGGCACAATTTCGTGTTGCAGAATTACCTAGAAGGTCATTGTTAAGGTGATAGTTCAATGGTAGTAGTACTTTTTAATGTACTTTTTTGCTCTGTGAGTAACGAACTTGATTTTTCATTCACATTATCGTTCATTTGAGTCGTAACATCAATTTAGTGAGTTTATAATCATTTTCAGTTTCACTAACGGTGATATAACTATGAATTGCTTTAATCTTGTCTTCTTTTTTGCTTTCGCAGTTTTTAATTCAGGAGCTGTGTTATCTCAGTGTTACAGCTTTATACTAATGCATATACTTTTATCTAAGTTACTGTTTTGGATAACATAGGTGATAAAAGTGATAATGAAGGGAGAAGTAAGATGAAAATAGCATACTGAAAATGGCAATATTTTGCCAAAATTTACGAAATGTTTTATTTGTTTTGAAATAATTATAATATATTTCTCATTTCCTAGTGAGAAATTCTGTGAAATCATATCTTTTAGAGAGATAAAAGAGAATTAGAGTATCCACCATTCATATTGATCACAAATATGTAATAATAAATTTATAGCATTAAAGCATCTTCATGGAGTTTTGCTTTTTTTTTTCTTCCAAAACAAGGCTTTTCGGATGATAGTGTTAGAGTTATTTTATTCACTATTTTTGATATTACAATGCATATATATTTCGCAACTTTTAATACTCAGTAACTTTAAAAAGTGGTAAAGTAGGATTTTTGTTGGTTAGCTAAATTATCAGCTTTAACAATTCGATTATATTAAAAAAAAAAATACTTAAAGTTGCATGTTACCGATATAATTGTTATAGATATTCTATCTAGTCTTATCTATGTTTTCTTTCATTTTCTTTTCATCATCTCTATCATATATACCATGTCCATAGTGTATGATATTTATATATATATATATATATATATTTAAAAAATTATGTTTTATCAACATTGCCAAAATTTCAAGCATCATTTCATATCGTTCCAAAAGTGAAGTTTTTTTTTTTTCTTTTAACTTTTATTTCTCTGGATTTGTTTATTTTCTACGTTTACTTTGTTGACTGTGAAGTTTTGCTACTGCAATTAGATCTATCTGTTTTTCAACGTCTTTGTTTATTTACTTTTTATTAATTTACATTTATTAGGTTCAGTAATATTTTACATACAGCAATGTGTTGTTACATTCATAATAACATATTGTCACCTAATGACATCATTCTGTAGGAATGGTTGAAAATGTAGCATATTATGTAGGTTATTGTGCACTTCACACATATTTTGGTATCTGAGACATTCTTTTTTTATTCTTTTATATCAATCACAACAACAAATAGAGTATGAAATCGAATAACAACTGTCAGAATAATGTGAACTACAATTTAATTTAGTCATTTCATGGGTTACGTAAGTATCGTAATATTATCAAATCAAAACATTTCCATCTTAACAGATTCATACCGACCTTACTTTCTATACTATGACTGTGACAGTAAAGATGGTAATAACAATGGCATAGATTGCAGTAATAGTAATGAAGATGACAGGAATAACTGTAGCAGTATCTCTAATATAATTTATGTCCCTAGCATATTCCTATCGAAAAATCGATTCGATGTTTCATTGCTCATAGATTTTTCCTTACGTACCTAAAAATGACCACTTGCCAATAGCTGCAAGATTACAATGATTTTAATTTAGGTTTGTATGCAGATTTGTTAATTCATGAGATTCTATACAGTATATAAACTTAGTTCTTATTGTAAATGAATCCTTTTCCTATTTGGAGTTATTACTAATTTGCTTTCATTTATTATTTAAAGTGGCAACTACTAATTTACGAGGTTATTATTGAGGTTTCATTTATTATTCATTGCAATTTATATTATTTTATGAAACAAATTTTAGTGAGTTTTGTATTCACTTAAGAATTTCTAATTCTTTAATAATTATTACACAAAATATAACATAAATGTTATAAATTGTAAATTATGTATATCACAAGATTGGACGTTCCTTCTGTTTACTTAGTAAATGAATAATTTACTTTGATCAGATGAAAACAAAGAAAAAAAATGAATGATAAATAAATAAAAATTTTGATTAAAGATGGCAATGCTAATTGAAGCTAATAAAACATCCTCGAATGTAAGTTTGGATGAGAGAAATCTAAGTGGATCAGAGCGAATTTTTCATGGCGTAACACATAAACCGCAATTATTTGCATTTCTGTATAATAAACGTTATGCAAATTTGAATACTTTATTTTCATCAGTTGATTTAAAGGCTAACCGAGAACAAGTTCCTATTTTTAATATCATTTAACTTCTATCTTTTATATATTCATAGTTTGTAAAATATATTTCAAAAACTTCCTCAATATCTCATACTTCATTTTGATTTTTTTTTCCTTTTTAAACTTATCTGTTATTATGTAAACTTTTTCTTTTTTTTTCAGTTGCTCTATGTAATTTTAGTTCTATTGGCTTTTTACTTGTTATTTGGATGTTTTGCTGAGCTAATTTGTAACATTTTTGGATTTGCTTATCCAGCTTATGCATCTGTTAAAGTAAATTTTCAAAAAAAAAAAAAAATTTCAAAAAATTAATACATGTTATCGAAAATGAAAAATAAAATAATAAATTTAGGCAATTCGTACACCAAATAAAGACGATGACACACAATGGCTAATGTATTGGACAGTTTTTGCTACATTTTCTATAGCTGATTCTATTGCATCTGTAATTACACATTTTTTTCCCATATATTGGATATTTAAGGTGTGAAATTATTTGATGTTAAGAAATTTAAACTTATATTTAAATCATTTATTTATTCTTGCATTTGGGAATGTAACAAAAAGTGCTACATAATTTTTGTTCAGAGTAACAAAAAATTTTTTTTTCAAATTTCTTGAAATGAAATATCTTTTTGACAAGTTCGAAAAATTTTTTATAATTTAAGATATAATCTATTGAACTAGATAAAATAGTAGCAATAGTAGTAATATTATTATTAATAATAATAACAACAATAATAATAATGGTAATAACAATAACAATAATAATAATCATGACAATAAAATAATGATAACAATAATAATAACAACGATAATAATAAAAATAATGATAATGAATGTACAATATAAACATTTTGTTAATTACAGTAAAAGAATACAGCAAAATTTTTGTATAAAAATTTATTTTTCAACTGAATATGCATACTGGATGAGAGATGCTTTAATTTTCTGTTATGTACAGTCTTAACAGGATATGATTTCACAGAATTTCTTACTAAAAATTGCGAAATATCTCATAATTATATCGAAACAAATAAAACATTTCGTAAATTTTGATGAAATATTGCCATTTTCATATTTCTACCTCCTTTATTAAACATTACTACCACTGAACTATCACCTTAACAATGACCTTCTAGGTAATTCCGCAACACGAAATTGTGCCTCTTCAATAACTGTCAGTAAATTTTCTCCATCAAGTTCATCGAGAAGAAGTAAAACAGCGGATAAAATTCGACCCATTCGTTTTTTCTGAAAAAATAAGGATAGCTTTCCCACAAAAATATTATATAATGAAGAAAAAAAAAAAAAAAAAAAAAAAGAAACTTTACAGAAATCATTTCTCTGTTATGGAAAGCTTTGAGCTTACGGAACAATTTCAAATCAATGCCTTATCTTCGACTGCTTGTCTCTGAGAGTCAGCAAATCCCGCACCAGTTGATTCTTCATCAAATTCTGCCAATTCATCACCCTCTACCATCGGCGAAAGTTCAGGCGGTTCTAATGGTTCCGTCTGAATATAAAGCGTACAGGCTATATCATAAATTAAAGATCGATAGAGCACTAAACCAATATCATAATATTTATGAAAAAAAAAAAGACAATGTCTATGAGAAAATTCCGAAAGTTAAACAGAACACATATATATAGTAAACTGCATAAACATCTAATGATAAGCATTTATAAAGCAGGAAAAATTTTTTTAAAGTACCTGCTTTAAGAGTAGCTGCCTGTTACGCAACACTTGGCGCACTTGTTCGTTTTCCTCCCTTTCGTATGCGCGACTTTCGCGCTGGCTGGTTATTGAAGCAATTTCTTCATATGGCACTGGTTCACAATCAACGTGATGCTCCGGCGGTTTATCACCAATTATTTCACCATCGTAAACTATTATAGATGCTTGAGCACCAGGTCCACTTTTCCGTTTAGCTCGCAAACATCTGTTGCATCGATAATATTCTTTACGCCCATCCACGGAACTTTTCATGTATGCATACTGCCGAATTTCCTTTGTTTTATCATCCATCACTGTCAGCAAAGAAGCATTGTAACGACTCGACAAGGCACGCTGCATTATCGTGAAACCTTTCAATACACCCATCTTCCTCCTTAATAAGATTATTTCTATCAAATGAGTAAGCTTATTTACTTTTTTGTGTATAATCCGAAAGCAGTTTTTTAAAAAAAAGCTTACTTCCTTTCCTGTTCATCACTTGATTCTGCATTTCTATTCTGCAACAGAAACAAAAATAAAACTGTGCAAAACACATTCGTATGAAATATTTTGATGGAGAAATTCAAAACACAGCAAGTAAAATAATGTTCAACTGGAAGTAAAAAAAAAGGAAAACAAAAGCTGTAACATTTAAAAGCGATGAAATGATGACAACTTACAATATGTCTCAAACGTCGTGATAGCGTAGGAGCCGAAATTTCAAGTCCTAATTGATCCTTTACAAGTCGACAAACTTCACTTAGAGATTTAATTTCACCATTTAGATATTTCAATAGTAAACCATCATATATAAGTCTAAAACAATATTAAACACATGAAGTCAGATTGTGATGTTAGAAGCAATTCTTACTTACAATGAAATAATCAACTGATTTACTTTTGTTCTTGTGATCCAAAAACGATTCCATGTCCATCTTCCAGAAATGATTCCGAATAATTATTTCGAGGATTACTAAAAATATTTCGCTTTCTCAACATATCACACTTATTATTTAATGCCAAAGCTAAATATTTCTACTTTATTATCGGAAATGAAGCCATTTCAAAACAGAAAATACTTGAATACTACTGGTAGGAATGACAAGAATTGCTAATATTAAGGAAAGATTTTCGACATTAGGATGAGAAATGAATAAGATGGGATAACATATAGCAACTGTAAATTATTCTGTAGAAAAAAAAAAAAAAAAAAAAAGAAACTTACATGTGTTCCTCATCTTCTACATTCACATCAGAACTAACCGATTCTTCATCATCTTTCCTTAAACTTTCATCAGTAATCATTTCTGTTTCAATCCTGGAATAACATAAATTTAGATATGATTTTTTGACAGAATGAAGAAGAAAGATAAATAACGACAACGAATAACCAATTTGCTAAATTAATTTGAAGATATATAATTATCGCTGATGAATATGTAAAAGAGCCATAGCTATCTATCGCTAATGAATACTTTATACATTTATATAACCAGTGAAGAATGAGAATATGGAAAGATGAGAAACTAAGAAAGCTAAAGAAAAATTGATTAGAGGAAAAATGAAAGATTATCATACACACTACTAAACATATTCTAAACAAATGGTTACAGAAGAGAAAATTAACACTTCGAAAAATGCTATGAAATCAAAATTTTTAAAAAATTTAAAAAAAAAAGTGAAGGATCATCCATACCACCTCTTCAATCACCCAGCACCGCCGCATATCTGCTTGACAGATTGCATCATCCACTGCTTTAGAGTTTACTTATAACAAAATACAGTGAATGGAAGAGTGTTTTAAGATTTAAAACATCTAATGCAGCTAAATTACCGATAATGTTTGCTTTATTATTATATTATATTTGAATCCCTTGAAAACTGAAACTTTGTAAAATTTCTAGTATCTTTGAATCCCGAGAAATACCGAAATTCATAAAATTGCAATATATAATTGCTAGAATGTTGCGCGGTAGCCGGCCGAAATGATGATGTTCGATGACAGAATTCAGTAATAATTTGAAGATAAATAAATAAAGGAAAATTTGCTCAAAAGTATTGTTTATGAATGTAGAAAAATATATCGCTTAATTAAGCATACAAATAAGATTATCCTAGACTAAATTAAAATTCAAAATTATTTTAAAAGTTGAAATAGAGTTGTTGAAAAAGTTATGATAGAATTGGCCTACTATCTTTCTCAAAGTTTCCTAACAAATGCTACATTTAAAACACTTTCTCTCCTCTCAATATTATAACAAAATAAGCCGAAATGCTATTATTTTATAATATCGTAGTCATTCGCATAAAAAAATGACAATTTAACATTGAATTATTTTATTTTAATAAAATTAATCATCAAATATGATATAAAATTTTGTTTACATCAGTGCATCGGGGTTAAAGGTTGAAAAGAGCACTATAGTAGCAAAGTAAAAGAGAAAATAAAATTTGTTTTCTTTTTTCTTCCCTCTTATTTACTTACAAAAAAAAATTTTTTTTTCATTTCCTCTAATTCACATAGATTAAATATTATCTAATTTAATTCAAATTATTTACAACGGTAATGGATTGAATCTGTTATTGATTTTATTAATTTAAATTTGTATAAATAATTTTCTTTATAGCTGTTTTATTAGTAGAGTTTATGCAATTTACAATATGTTTTTGTTTAACTTTCCAAATTTTCTCATAAACGTCGTTTCATGCTTTTTTTTTTTCATAAATATTTTGAAATTAGTTTTATTTTTTTTGAAATATTTATAATACTTTGAAAAAAAAATTAGCTTTTCTTTTTGCTCCATCGATCATTAATTATTAAGATGCAGAATTATCTTGAATGTCATTGTTAATTTGATAATTCAATGATAGTGATTTCCAATATACTTTATATTCAGACGGAATATTTAGCATCATTTCATATCGTTCCAAAAGTGAAGTTTTTTTTTTTCTTTTAACTTTTATTTCTCTGGATTTGTTTATTTTCTACGTTTACTTTGTTGACTGTGAAGTTTTGCTACTGCAATTAGATCTATCTGTTTTTCAACGTCTTTGTTTATTTACTTTTTATTAATTTACATTTATTAGGTTCAGTAATATTTTACATACAGCAATGTGTTGTTACATTCATAATAACATATTGTCACCTAATGACATCATTCTGTAGGAATGGTTGAAAATGTAGCATATTATGTAGGTTATTGTGCACTTCACACATATTTTGGTATCTGAGACATTCTTTTTTTATTCTTTTATATCAATCACAACAACAAATAGAGTATGAAATCGAATAACAACTGTCAGAATAATGTGAACTACAATTTAATTTAGTCATTTCATGGGTTACGTAAGTATCGTAATATTATCAAATCAAAACATTTCCATCTTAACAGATTCATACCGACCTTACTTTCTATACTATGACTGTGACAGTAAAGATGGTAATAACAATGGCATAGATTGCAGTAATAGTAATGAAGATGACAGGAATAACTGTAGCAGTATCTCTAATATAATTTATGTCCCTAGCATATTCCTATCGAAAAATCGATTCGATGTTTCATTGTTCATAGATTTTTCCTTACGTACCTAAAAATGACCACTTGCCAATAGCTGCAAGATTACAATGATTTTAATTTAGGTTTGTATGCAGATTTGTTAATTCATGAGATTCTATACAGTATATAAACTTAGTTCTTATTGTAAATGAATCCTTTTCCTATTTGGAGTTATTACTAATTTGCTTTCATTTATTATTTAAAGTGGCAACTACTAATTTACGAGGTTATTATTGAGGTTTCATTTATTATTCATTGCAATTTATATTATTTTATGAAACAAATTTTAGTGAGTTTTGTATTTACTTAAGAATTTCTAATTCTTTAATAATTATTACACAAAATATAACATAAATGTTATAAATTGTAAATTATGTATATCACAAGATTGGACGTTCCTTCTGTTTACTTAGTAAATGAATAATTTACTTTGATCAGATGAAAACAAAGAAAAAAAATGAATGATAAATAAATAAAAATTTTGATTAAAGATGGCAATGCTAATTGAAGCTAATAAAACATCCTCGAATGTAAGTTTGGATGAGAGAAATCTAAGTGGATCAGAGCGAATTTTTCATGGCGTAACACATAAACCGCAATTATTTGCATTTCTGTATAATAAACGTTATGCAAATTTGAATACTTTATTTTCATCAGTTGATTTAAAGGCTAACCGAGAACAAGTTCCTATTTTAATATCATTTAACTTCTATCTTTTATATATTCATAGTTTGTAAAATATATTTCAAAAACTTCCTCAATATCTCATACTTCATTTTGATTTTTTTTTCCTTTTTAAACTTATCTGTTATTATGTAAACTTTTTCTTTTTTTTTCAGTTGCTCTATGTAATTTTAGTTCTATTGGCTTTTTACTTGTTATTTGGATGTTTTGCTGAGCTAATTTGTAACATTTTTGGATTTGCTTATCCAGCTTATGCATCTGTTAAAGTAAATTTTCAAAAAAAAAAAACAATTTCAAAAAATTAATACATGTTATCGAAAATGAAAAATAAAATAATAAATTTAGGCAATTCGTACACCAAATAAAGACGATGACACACAATGGCTAATGTATTGGACAGTTTTTGCTACATTTTCTATAGCTGATTCTATTGCATCTGTAATTACACATTTTTTTCCCATATATTGGATATTTAAGGTGTGAAATTATTTGATGTTAAGAAATTTAAACTTATATTTAAATCATTTATTTATTCTTGCATTTGGGAATGTAACAAAAAGTGCTACATAATTTTTGTTCAGAGTAACAAAAAATTTTTTTTTCAAATTTCTTGAAATGAAATATCTTTTTGACAAGTTCGAAAAATTTTTTATAATTTAAGATATAATCTATTGAACTAGATAAAATAGTAGCAATAGTAGTAATATTATTTAATAATAATAATAATAATAATAATAATAATAATAATTAATAATAATATCATGATATAACAGTATAAATATCCTCTTAATTGCAATAAAAAATTTAGCAAAATTTTGTTTTAAATTTTATTTTTCAAAGATATATCTTACATACAGTTAATTATGCATAATTTTAGGCAACATTCTTACTTTATCTTTATCTTCCAAACTGTAATGGAACACAAATGTTATTTTATAATGTTGTTAATCCAACAATTTCAACAATTGATGATTTCATTAATGCTTATATGAGAAAGTAATTCAGTAAGCTGAAGAAAAATCATTATCGGTTATCGAATAATTTAAATAAATAAAATAGGTAATATAAAATTAAGGGATAAAATGGGAAAAAAGACGATAGATTTGATTTGATAAATATCAAACTATTTGTTATGTATTGCTTAAATTTTGACAAAATTATGAAATTAAATAAAATTTGAAAGTTAATGCACTTTACATTTTAAAATTTACAGTTCAGATTAACAATAAATTTACAATTTCAAATATATAAAAATTAATAACTGATGAAATGTGCTGACTGATTTCATCTATTCTCATACATTAAATTATTACAAATAATAATAATGCTTGGTTTGTTTGTGTAATTGTGTGTATGTGTGTCTGCTTTTCACCAAGGTCAAAGGTTAGTGGTTGTTATTATGGGTTGTATTATCGATTTGTGCTTAAAATGTTGCTGCATTTTGGACATTGTGAACAAATCGATGAGCAGTGTAACACAAAGTATTAATTAATATTATTATTTCAAATTTGAGAGCATTTTAAAATGACATTAATGAACGGAGATAGAGTCACTTTATGATGATAAAATGTTTTATAAAATGAAAATTTTGAAGTTAGCATTGAAATTGAATATTTATTATTTAAATCATTGGTGCAATTTCAAGCAATACTAAAATTAGAAATTTTATATGTTATTTTAGAAATATATGAAAATTAAAAAGCTAATGAGAGAATTCTAATTTTTTAAAAAATTAAAATTTTCATACACTGAAATAGTGATCAGTTGTCTTATTATTAAAAATGAATTCGAGATTAGTTCGGCGAGAAAAGTTGAATTTCCCCGATGTTCAATAAATGTCTTTTAGTTAACCGATTGAAGGACCATTATGAAAGATTAATGATTCTAAGAATTAAGGCAAATTATCCTTTAATGGTGAATGAATAAATTGTTGAACTATTACTTCTACTGCTACTACTAACTTTGTAATTACATTGCTAACATTCGAATAATTTAAATGTTAGTTTAGCTAACTATAAAATATTTTAATCTAAGCGATCAATAAATTTCTAAATTTATTGATAAATTTTTTTTTTTTTTTTTTGTGAATTATAAAGTAAAAAATGAGAATATGCGGATGAATTGAAATTTTTTCCTTTCTTTTTCTTTTCATTTATTAAAAGAGAAATATAAATTCGAATTCTATAAATTGCAAGGCAAATGAGTAATGTTATAGAAAAATAAATTATACAAAAAAGAGGAAAAGTGGATAGGTTTGGTTAATTATTTGAAGAAATCTCCAAGTTACTTTATACTTTAATAATAAGTAATAAAATTGCAACACAAATGAAATATTTATTGCGGTTGGAAAATTTTTGAAAATGTTTTAAAAATATAATTAATTGTTCATTTAGAAGATTATTGCTTAATTGAATTATACTTTGATTAAAATTAGCTGAATTTTAACTGAATTTTAAGCATATGTGTATATAATAAAATCAGAAAAGAGAAGGGAAGAAAAGTAAAATTGTTGTTTGCTGAGCATAATATTTTGCATAAATCAATTTGTAATTAAATTTTATTCCAAAAGCTTAATTCCAAAAGCTTAGTTTTATTTTGTGAATTATTTGCCATTTTGGAAAAAAAAAAAATATTTTTACTGCTTTAATTTTACCAATCTTATCATTATTGTACGACAAAATTAATTTCAATTAATTTATCAAATTTATTTTTGAGTATAATGTGTGGTCAGATAAAGAGAAAAATTAATTCATAATATAATTTAATTCTGGTATGAGAATGATAAGATTGATATGGAAATATGTTTTGTTATCATTTATCATTAACAATTAATTATTATCATGTAATTGAATTATTTTAAAAAAAAAAATGTTTTAAAATTTTATCATTATTAATTTTTAAAAAAATTATCGCAAAGAAAAATTTTTAATTAATTTCATTGGTGTTTTTTCTTTTTTCCTTCTTCTTTTTAAATATAATAACAAATTTTAAGAATATTAAAATATGAAAAGATAAATGAGAAATAATTAATGATATTTCTTCTTGTATCATTGAAACTACTCCGATGGATATGGATTGTCCTTGAGATATTACACATCAACAACGATCAATCAACTTATCCCATCCAATCAAACTGTCCGACATTTATCAGTGACCTTTATCAGTTCCAAACATCATCAATAATAAAATCTTTTTGCTCAAACTATTCGAATGACCTTTGTGTATACATTTCATTCTTAATATATAAAAGCATTCGATATAGATTGTTGAAATGATAAGATAACTGTTATCATAAGTTTCTTTCTTTCTTTTTTTTTAAAAAAAAAAAACTATTCTGATTAGCACAAAATAGCAAATATTCACAATGATTAAAGGAACAAATTGTTTAAATTCAATTTTTTTTTCTTTTTTTTTACAATTCAAATAAATAAAATAAAAAATAAATAGTGGAAAATTCAAATGGGCAACAAAAAGAAGGTAAGCATATAAGGGAAATCATTTCAAAGACATTTAAGATAAAGTTAAAAAACTGGGGTATGGAAAGCCCGATGCGGGGCTCGAACCCGCGACAGCCAGATTAAGAGTCTGGTGCTCTACCGACTGAGCTAACCGGGCTATGCACATAGAGTGAAAATTGAATTTAATGTAAATAATTTAATTTTATAAAAAATTTTTTTTTATTTTATGAATTATATTAAGTTTGATTAATAATTTTAGCACTGTAATATTTACAACTAATTAATTAATTGATTGAGAAATTTTCAATTTTGCACAGTAAACAGTTTATGATTGCTCATATCGATGCTTTTTTTAACCCAAAATGAGAAAGAAAAAGTATGAAATGAATGTTAGCTTAGTCTAAGTACTAATTAAATGATAGCTTAGTCTAAGTACTGATTAGATGATAACCTAGTCTAAGTGATATTAGTCTAATTAAATGATAACCTAGTCTAAGTAATATTAGTCTAATTAAATGATAACCTAGTCTAAGTAATATTAGTCTAATTAAATGATAACCTAGTCTAAGTAATATTAGTCTAATTAAATGATAACCTAGTCTAAGTAATATTAGTCTAATCAAATGATAGCTTAGTCTAAGTAATACTGGTCTAATTAAATGATAGCCTAGTTTGATAAATAAATTAATATTAATCACATTTAGCATAATTAATGCATAAGCAGAATTTAAGACTGTCCTTGTAAATTGTCAAAAATAAATTTAAAAATTTTTTAACAGTTGAGAATGAAATTTTAGTATAATTAGCATTAGCATTACTACATGTACGTGTATGAAAGTGAATATCTGAATTATAATTTGTTGATAATGATAAAAGTGATAGCTATTGATAATCATATCATATGTAATTACAACTTATAATTTAGAATATTTTGTATTATTAAAATTAAGTGCAAAAAAAAAAAAAAGATTTTTAAGATTAAATTAACCAACAATTAAACAATTTTATTTGCTGAACTGAACAAGTAAATTAAGCAAATTCAAATTTGAAAAATTTTTAAAAAATTGCTAATCATTAAATGAGTTGAATTATTCGTTCATTTTACTTTTTCTCCTTGCATTATTCTTTGAATTTAAAAAATTTTCCAAAACTTATAAAAATTTCAAAATTTATATAATGAATACAGTTTAAATATTTTAACATAATACACAATTTTAATTTCTTTTTGTAAAATTAAATTATAATTTTTTTTTTGTTTCTTGTTTTGCAATGTTTACTTTGAAAATTAAAATGAAATAATAAATATTGAAGTTAATTTGTTTGCAAAAATTTTCCAATTAATTTTTTAAAAATTTATACTTTTAAATCATTTAATCATTTTATTAATTTCTGCCAACAATAATAATATTATTATAATTAATATTATCTCATTTGTTGTTGTTAACTAATATATTTAATATTTTACTAAATCATAAGTAATAAATAACATTCATTCATATTTATCAAATATTTTTTTTTTGTTTGCTTCTGTGAACTTCGCGGGTATTTATTGTTTACTGCTATTAACTTCCCGGGCATTATTGTTGTCCATTTCCCGGGCATTATTCTGCACATATACATACATTTCTAATCTCTGATCGAATATTTTGGGCAACTGCATAGGTAGGCGGAGTTTGATGCTGAATTGGTCAGTGGGACGAATGTCATTTGGGCTTATGCCATTACTAAAGCTTTCTTCAAATGACGAAGGGTCATTTGGTCGAATGGTCCACTTATAGTCCAGTTGACCTTCTTTCACGACCATCTTCCCAGCAACACACTTTTACCAATTTCTTACCAAATCCACTTCATCACTTTTCTTTAATTCTAACATTTTACCTTTGCTTAAATTGTCCCTTCTTCAATTAAAATTAAATTACATCATATTTTAATTTTGTAAAATTGTAAAGAAATTAAAAGTATATAAACTATTAGCAGCAAATATAATCATTCCTATTTCGAAAAATAAATTATTTCATTTATTTGAACGCTTAATTAATCTCAAAAAGCAAAAAAAACTAATTAATTATACAATTTTAACATTAAAACACAATCATTAGCAGATTTCAATTCATTACCGTCACAAAGAAACAATTTAAATTAATTCATCAATGGCATACATACTGCTACTCATCTTTCTCTCACTTCATTTCACCTCAGCGGTATGTTTATTTGCATAATAAACAATATTAATGATAGGATAATTTATAAAAAACTAAACAAATAATTTTCTTTATAAATAACACAAAAAAAGAAATAAAAAAAATTTTGATTATTATATTTTCTAATTATAAATTTTTTCTAGCAATTGACCAGTGATCCAGGACTAGCATTTGAAGTGATCGGTGCTGAAGCGCAAGATGATAAGGTGAATGTTACGGAATACAATGATCAAAAGGTGACAACAAACGATCAACCAAATGTGGCACATCAACATGATCATCATGGTGACGATGATGAACTGACCAAAGAGCATGCAAAAAGTGAGCCAAAATTACTGAGAGTACGAGCAACTGTTGAAGATGAACAAACACGTCAAAATGAAACGGAAACTGCTGAGCATCATCCGAAAGAGATTAAACTGCACAAGGAAGATAAACCGGAAACAACAACTGCAACCGAAACTGTTACCACAAAATTGCCATAAAAATGGTTAGTGAAAATAAATTTAAAATTAAAAAAAAATTTAATCAAATTTGTTCTTTTTTTTTTTTTTTTCATTATTAATATCTATGTAAACATTTAAATTTATGATTTTTTAAAAAAAAAAAAAAAAAGAAAAAATGAAACAAAATTAAATATTATTTACAAATGCATTTTAATAATGAAATATTGATATTTTGTTCGAATTAATATTATTTGTTTTTTTTTTTAGGAAATGAAAAATGGCATTTATCGACAACAAAACAATTTCATCAGTTTTATAATCACAATATCATATCAGCTCTATCCTAATTATTCCCTTTTTTTTTTTTTTTTTAACAAAAAATAAATAAATAAAAAGTAATAATAAAAATAAAATTTATTTACACTTAAAATTTTTAATGTTCAGAAGTACAATTGTTGGAAATTCTATTGTTTTTTTTTTTCTTCTTTTACTAATTATATCATTTAATTAATTAGTCCATTTAATCAATTCCTATTCATCACATTCCAAATTTATTCACTCATTTTGTTATGCATTAAAAAATTTTTGAAATATATTGTATGGCTTTTTGCATTACAGAAATGAATTACACAAATAAATGATTAAAATGAAATGCAATTGATTAATTAGCAAATTAAACTTAATTACACATCAAATATATATATGCAAATTATATTCAACTTTTAAAAATATCCTTCCATGAACACGAAAATAAGAAAAAACTTTTGAATGGAAATTATTTAATTAAAATTTAAACTACACACACATACACACACATACATACACATACGTGTATATGCGTAAATGTACACATACATACATACACAGACATATACATACACACATGCACAAATGTATGCTTATATACGTACACATACACACATACGTATTCGATGTATTTCTGAAAATTCATCATTCGATGGTTTCTAGTTCAAAATTTTTTAAAATCATTTTAAAAATTTCCACTAATTATTAAATGGATCGATAAATGTTGACGTTTATATTTTGGCGGTAATGTCACATCGATAAACTAAATTTTGTGATGAAAGTTATATAAATGAAATTAAAAGTAATTGATTAGGACAAGATGTGATCAATTTTAATGAGATTTTAACAAAAATCACCATGAAATTAACACGAAATACTATGAATTAGAGTGTACATTTCCATTTAACTTATGCATTCGTTATTTTTAAAAAAAAAAAAAAATTTAAAAATAAAAGATTAAAATATTATCAATGAAAATTTTAAAATATACCATCTCATTTGCTACTGCAAAAATTTATCATTGACTTTACATATAACATTGCTATTAAAATTTCAATATTATGAAGTTAAATTTTAACGTCAGTTTTAGATTAAATTAAAATTTTTTATTGTTATTACTGGGATAAGAGAAATTAAAAATTTCATTCACATTATTAAATGATAAATGTTATTGGGATGAATGATTAAATGTTTAATTGATAATATAAATTTGAATGTAAATTAACTCAATTGAAAATTTTAGTGTCGAAATTCAAAATAAAATTGCAAATTTTCCTTCTGAATGAATAATATAACAAAAGCAGTGGCTAAATTCAATAATCGAATTGCAATTTATTCAGATCTATCCTAGAATTCAAAAGGAGTTTAGTAATTTTAAAATTTTGAATTGAACAATTTTTACTACTTATCTTTCGATAATCCTGTGTATTTAGACAGCACCATATAGAAACATTTCAAATTTAGTCAAATATAACCTAATAAAATTTCATTTCCTTTTCATTCTCCTTTTAAATGAACATTGTAAACTAAATTGTTTTCATTTTTAGGATAAAATCATTGTAAGATAAAATTGTAATCTTTTCAATATAATAAAAAAATAAACAATTTTAATATAAAACTTAAATTTTAATTATAATAATAGTAATAATTCTTAACAGATAACGATAACCATTTATTCTATCTTTTAATATGTTTGTTTATCTTAATGCATTTCATTGATCGAATTAATTTTACTATTTCAAACATTTTAAATTTCAAACTTTATGATTTAAAATTTTAAATGATAAAAAATTTTTCGTATATTTCTCTCAAAAATTTTCTATTCATTTGTCAAATTAAAATATATAATTTCATATCTTTGCACATTTTTTTTTTCTTTCTAACTAATTTTTTATTTATCACTTTGTTAAAATTTTTTAAACTTATTTGTAATCAATAAAAAACAAAAAATTGTTCAATTAAAATTAATTTATACTATCATTATTATTCACAAATAATCTTATTTTATTTTTACATTACGGAATATAATAATTATAAATTTGTATAAAAATAATTAAAATAATTTGAAAAAATCAAAATAAATTAATTCGACAAATGATTTTTAAGCTAATTAAGTAAACATGTAGCATTTAATATGTGACATTTCTTTTTTACAAATTATATTTTCAAAATTTTTCATTATAAATGAATTTATATGCTAACATTAAATCGTTTTTTTTTTTTTTTTTTTTTTTATTGCCTAAAAAAATTTATTTATAAAGAAATTATGAATTTTATTCATTGCTAGCAGTGATATCATTCTGCTAAGATTGCATAGTGACCAATGGTAAGTGTCCAGTGCCAGCTTTTCTTATGATAATGACCATCTGATGACACTCATTTCCTTCCTTTTCTTTTTTCTTTGTTGGCTAAGACGAATGATACTGCACGACGATGCAGTCATGCATTCATGATAAATCTGCATGTAATCAGTGCTGCTTGCATGCTGCATCTTATGCTTATGCATGCATCTTTTTTCCGTATATTGCATGCAACGTTCCTTGCGTGTTTCACGTGATGCTATCTGCCCTGTCAGCTTAATTTTTCTCGTTTTATTTTCTAATTTAAAAACAAAAAGAGAAACAGAGTGTCACACAACGCCCAATTTGTCACATTGTCTGTCCTTAAGGACAATCAATGTGACAAATTGTACTTTCAAAATCATTTCGCAATATTATTGCCAATTTCAATATTTTTTTTTTAATATTTTTACTTTATTTTCATTTTGTAAATTGCAATTTGCTGATATGCCATTTTGGGTTTGAAATATTTTTAGTCCAAAAATTTAATAACAATTTTAAATTAATAATAGTTTAATAATTTAAATTGAATAATAGTTTAAATAAAATGAAACAATTAAATTCTTAAGATTATATTTTTATAATGGTTTAAATTGAAACAGAATTGATAATACAAATTTAACTTTATGAAATATGAAACTGATCCCTTTTAACTGAATAGTTTTAATAAATAATTTATTTGTTAATTTTATCTAACGTCCAGCTTTGCTCTACTGATAATTCTATTTGTTATCTTTTCCGCATCTCTCACTTATTCTATATTAATTATTTACTTCCATCTTTCTTATAATTTTAATTTTTGTAATCTCCACTACTATTCTTTTCCATTCTTTCTGTTCCATTTTTATTTTTTTTTTTTTTTTTCAAAATTAAATATAAAAATTTAAAAAAATATTTGATGACGTTTACAATAAACAAATTCTTTGACAATGTTATTATTTGCAACGAATGAAATTATTGAACATTTAATTAATAAATAATACCTAAGTTAAATTCATCATACTAATTAAGATAACTGGAAAATAAATTTTACTTTCTTCTGATATTTTAATAATTCTCTTGCAAAGATTACAATTAACTTACTTTATTTACTTTCATTTTTTTTCTCTTACTGCTTTTACAAATTTGAAATAATTATATAATTTTGCATTTTAAAATCAGATTTAAATTAATATTAGCTGTAAGACTATAATTGTTTTTGCATATTAAGCATTCAAAAAGGAAAGAAAAAAAAAGATAGTAGTGAAAAGATTTGCTTAAAATTCAATAGTTACTGTGACAAATAATAGGTTACATTTAATTATTCGTTGAATATTTCAAATGAGGAATATGAAATTTAATCCTAAAGCTAATAAAATTTTATGATCATCTAAAATCCCCCCCCGCCAGCATAGAAAATGTCTTTTTGCAAAAGAGATTAATTAGGAGTGTCAATTTTGATGTGTTTTTCAATTACCCCATTCATGATTTTCACATCTTTTAATCGATTTTTGAATTTCATATTAGGAGAGAAAGAAAGCGAGAGAGAGAGAGAGAAAAGAAAAGAGACAAAGAATGATTAAGTAAGTAAGCAAGTAAATAAGTAAGTAAGTAATTAAGTAATTAACAATGGAATAAATGCTATTCTTCCATGTGTTAAATCAAATACTCTACATTGATAAAATGTAGAGTAGACAGTAGTGATAATAATAACAATAATTAATAACAAAACAGCAACAACAATAACAATAACTAATAACAAAACAGCAACAACAATAACAATAACAACAACGACAATAACAATTAATAATAGCAACGATTATTACAATCTATTTATTGATAATAATTTCTATTTTTATTTTTTCCAATATTTTTTGTAACAAATAAAATTTTCTCCAAATATTATTTATCTTTTTTTTTTTTTTTTTCATTTAATTTTATTAATATCAATTAGCAATGATGAAATTATTAATGAATTCAATTATTAACAATGACATTTTTGAAAAGTAAATGATAAATAATGAAAATAAAAATTTGTTCAAAAAAAAAAAAATTCATTTAATTGTTTAAATTTTATCAAAATTTGACATTTCCTCTCTTTTTTCATTTCATATTTTCTTTCCTCCCTTTTTTTTCTTTTTGTTAATCTTTCATTACAAATTCATTTTTAATTTATTCGTAATTTATACCTCTTTTTTTTTTTTCATTCAATGCTTTGACATTTTCAATTCCTCTCTCTCTCCCTCTCTCTCTCTCTCTCTCTCTCTCTCTTCATTTGTTTATTCAAATTTTAAAAATTGAAAATTTTAATTGTAATTTTTAACGAACGATATAATAATCAAAGCACATTATCACAACAATGACTAACTGCACAATAATTAATGTATAATTTCCATCGAGAAATTTCCATCGAGAAATCGCCATGTCTAATTTGCATAATAAGCTTATTCGCACATTGCTTATAATTTAAAAACCACTTACAGGTGGTTGTCCATCATTCTTTGCATTTCTAATCCATTTATTTGCTTAGCTTAATTTTTTTTTATCATATTTCTATTATTAATTTTATTAATTTCATTTAGTTAATTTAGTAAATGTGACAAAAAAAAAAAAAAAAAAAAAAAACTAAAACTAAGAAATTGAAATATTAATTTAATATTTTTTTTTTCAATATCTTTTGTTTTGTATTACATTTTAAGCTTTCTAAAACAATAATTTCATAA